CTGATTTATAAATAAATAAATTTATTAAAAAAAAAAAAAAAAAAGCAACTTGCCTAGCAATATCGAGAGCGAAACGTAGAGCTTTTGATGGGGATAGACGACCTTTCTTTTGAAGATAGCTTGCTAGATCACCCTGAAAATTTATTTATAGCATTGGCCAAGTGATTCGGATAAGACAAACTCTCCAAAAGAATTTCGAAGTCATCTCTATTGACTAATCTAAACAGGAAGTATATAAATACACTAAACCCTCTCTGTTTCTTTGGTTTTTTCTTTTTTCTTTTTTCCGATCTACTTTTTTGTTTTTAAGGCTGTGTATGCATCAACACGTATGCCTGTTGATGCACAAACTATACAAGTAACTTTTGAAAAACTCACTGGGGATAATGATGGCACTCAAAATGTCAGGGACTTCAGGTCAGATACATAAATATTTAAGCAAAAATTAGTATTTTCAAATGGATTATCCATAGTAAAAAATCAACTTATTGATGTCCATCAGCATCATTTAGAAGATATTCCTCATGCACAATCAGGTTATATATAACATGAGAAGGGACAAAGTAAAGGTTTGACTTCATTCATTAACTTAATTTAAAAAACAATAGAGTGAACACCAACTTTAACCGTAATAAAAATTCAAATTTCAAAACATTAAAAGACATTATCAATTTGAAAATGACAAGGAACAGAAAACAAGCCACATTTTATCTGCTTGCTTATGGTGAGGGGCAAAAAATGGAATTATTCAAATCTTTTGGCAGAACAATAGACCTCAGTGATTCCTTTTTCCAGTGTTAGTCCAACAAGACAACATAAAGCCAAATTATTGCCATTTCTAATAAATTTCTCATCTCACCGAGATGCCCCAGCACTAATGCATTCTTTCACTCCTCTCTATTTGATATACACCTCTCTCTCTCTCTCTCGATCTCTCTCAAATGCAAAGACTAATAGAGGAAGGGAGCATAAGCTTACCTTACGATGATACTCTGAAACTATCATCATGGGTATATTCTGGGTGACAGCTCCAACAAACTGGACCACATTAGGATGTCGTACCTTCTCCAATAATGTGAGCTCGTGTTTGAAAGCATTTCTAGGTGAATTATTGAAAACGCTAAGGTAAGTGTCACTGCTGTGTAACTAATTGTCTAAACAAGTGGACTTTTAGAATAATACTTGACAAAATCAAGGTGAAAAGTACTGATTAATTTTCCGCCAGCCAAAAGCTGAGCCAAACAGGATAAACAACAACTATTTTGGGAGGGTGGCAAGAAGCACATCATACAGACACACAAACATCATAGTTGAGGCATGTTCATACATGCTATCAGGATCTGAATAACAGTCCTTATCAAGGATCTTGACTGAAACCTTAGTTCCATTCCATTTAGCTACTTGGTATGCCCCCTGTGAAAAGAGAGATCTAACATGAGAGGAAAACCACATAAGCAAGTGATTCTATGCTAGGTGAATATATGTGCAGTGAACTCATGTACGCTATAATAGTTCCAAAAGTGCATCTGGATGTTCAATAGTTCTGACATGCATTTGCAACTTCACTCCAGAACAATATGAAGAAGTGTTACACAAGTGTTACCATAAGGTGGACAAATTATCATTACTCACCTGAAAAAACAAAATGTTAGCTGGAATAAAAAACAAAAGAAACCAAAAAAAAAAAAATGCATGGCAAACAGCTCATCCACTGTCACACGGTAATAAAACAAAATGACACCTCCAATTATAGTAGTTGACCAATTAATTGTCTTGATAACAACTCTCTGCAAATTATATGCTGTAAATCATACCAGAAATAATTTTAAAATGTATACAATAGTGAATGCCTCGTAACCTTTTGAACCACATAGGTAACGAAAAAGCTACCAAGAGGAAGTGGGAGGAAAAGAACCCATACTTTTGAAATGCCATCACTCTTCCGGACCTGGAGTTCTAAGGGATTAAGTTCATATTCGGGAACTTCACGAGGATTTGCAACAGACATCGGCGTCTTCCTGGTTTTCTAACGGCATCCAAGATTAAATAGTAAGTGCCTAATTTCAAAATGCGTAAACAGATAAAGATATGAGTGTGAATAAAAAATATGATACCGGCACTTTAGCTCCACGGGTCTTCAATATATTGTAAACTTCTGTATTTCCATAGTATTTGGAGTCAGCAGCAGCCTGCCAACGTATTACAAAACTATCCCAGATGAAAATGGAGGAATATATAGAAGAGATTTCTCAGTCACAGAGGATGAAGCATTTGGGAACAAGAGGCGGAACGAGAATGAAAAGTACCGTACTGCCCCAACGATCTCGAGCGTCGATATTAGCCTTGCGGCTGAGCAAGAGCTTCACAACCTCCACATGTCCTTCACAGGCAGCGATATGCAACGCGGTGCGGCCATCCAAGTCAATGCTATTGACATCAATGCCCTCATTCAGCAAATCCTCCACTCCCTTTACGTCCCCTCTGCAGGCCATGAACAGCAACTGCATCGTGAAGTCGAGGTTCTCTGGTACCGCCAGGTCACTGTCATGACCGGGACTGCGGCGAATCGGATCGAGTGATGACTGGCGACCGAAACTGAACCTGAGATTGTTGCGTCTGGGATCCAAGGACGACTGACGGGAGAACTTCCGGCTCAGATTCCGGCGCAGAGAACCGGTGGAAAATTGGCGAGAGATGCCTTGCTTCAATTGCGCGGCAATGTTTTCCATGGCTTTCCTTGGAATCGAATAAGGAGCGCACAATGGTGCGAACTGAAAAGGGATGGATAGATGCAGAGCTCTACATAACAATTAATGGATCAAAGTAAATTTGGTGTGGGGGTATAATTTTTGTACGCAAGGATCGATGGATATCAATAATGGTAGAACTCAATACGTATGTATATGTGTGTCTGCTCGGAATCGAGAACTTGGCCGGGTGAAGGAGAGACGAAAACAGGATTGGATCTCCTTCAAACCGGAGGTTTGGTTGATATCGCAAAGACCAGAGATATAGACTAGTGCTAACGCAGCGAAAGGGGATAGATATTGACGGGGGAAGTCAAAAGCTTTTGTTTCCACACACTTCTGCGATAAAGCCGTTCTCTCTGTCTAATAATGCGTCTCGACGTTTGAAACGCTGCAGTCCCATTTTCCGGTCGACCATTCCCCACCACTTACGTTTTCTCACCCATGAAATTCTTTTCTTTTTTTCTCAGTTTTTATAGAGTTTGTTACTAACAATAATTTATGAATTATTTCTAATTATAAAAATTAGTTGACTAATTTGAGAAGATTAAAAAATAAATTAAATTAGTTATTTGTAATAAATAAATATGTATTATCTTTTTAAAATATCTTTCTAATCAAGTGTATTAACTAGAACTACTATTATTAGAAGGACTTCCTTAGAAAAAAAATACATAAATATGAAAAGCAAAGTGGATTGGGGTCTTATATTTAAGACCAAAATAAAAATCAAACAAGATCTTATATTAAAGACCAGAGATAATATTGATTATTGATTATTTAATTATGACTTATTAATAAAATGAAACTCCTAATTTTATTTCTAAATCACTTCCAAAATGTTTCACATATACCAAGAAAAATCTTAAAATTCAGTAATTCTTATTTAAAATTCAACAATTTTTTAACTTTATCCCTATTTAATATATATTATACCTCATGTAAACAAAATCAACACAATAATAAATTAAGGGTAAAATTGAATACCCATACAATAAAAAAATTTATCTCTGTGCCTTATAAATAAGATCTAAAAATATCTTCTCTCTGTCTTGTAAAAATATGACCAATAGAGTAATTTGTAAAGACAGACTTTTATCTATATATCTACCGTAAACTAGCATACCGTATAAAATCAAAGTAATTATCATTACCTTTTATGACTCATTAAGTTTTTATTTTTGCCAACTTATCACTCATTAATTTGATCTTTACATAAAACCTAATTAGACACACAAATTAACCCCATGAACACGTAGTATGCGTATCATCCTCGCAGAATATTTTAAAAGTGTTCTAAAAATACATCTTTTGGCTGGACAAAAAAATATTATCATAAATCTTATTTACATTTTGTTTCAAAAAACATCTTTTTTAATTAACCCTAATCATGCTAACTTCATGACTACACCATACATTTGTTTTTTTTTTTAATGGAAAAGACGCCAAAAAATAAAAAAAGCTAACTATTACATCCACAATCAGCTTACATTTTTTTAAAGTTAATAAGTCTAAATTAAAATCTTATACATAATTAAAAAATTAGAAGTAGAGTAGAACACTTTAACCAACTTTAATTTATCATCTAAAGACCCAATTCACATCTAATCATACTGAATAACTTTAATTTACTACTTCTGGTCCTCCAGTCCCAATTATAAAACACCAACACCACTCATAGTTTACAAATCAAATTTTCTAATTAAAACCGAAAGTATTATTTTTTTAAAACCTCAATTCACATCTCATCATACTAACTTCTTAAAGTTTGAAAAAATATTAGATAAATTATTTTAAACATATTTATTTATTTATTTAAACTAATTTAGCTAAAATCTAATTTAATTACACACAAATATTTCAAAATAATCCTATAACATACGCAATAATTAAATTATTATTTAACCTCCTCAATCTTTCTAAACTATTCAACTCAATTTTATATTAAGAACCGAAAAGTATTCCATAAAAAGACTTGCTTATTAAGCATTTGTCTAATATTTTTAAGTAAAATTAAAGAAAAATTAAGCCAATTGGATGAAAAAACCTCCGACAAAAATTTTTAGCAAGGACTGAAAGTTTCATTAAAAAATCTAAAAATTTTGTCGACATAAGAGTACCTGGTTCTAAGATCCTTCCGGGCAATAAAATTTTTAACGAGTAATTTTCCCAATTTCCCCCCCAAAAAAGAAAAATGTAACTTTAGTCATCACGAAACCGCTGCCAGCACACCACACCACACCACACATCATATACACGAACGTATAATGGAACAGAAAATAAAAGGAGCCCCAACAGCCGATGCTACCGGAGAGGAAAAAGTTTCCCAGCCACAAATCTATTGTACAACAGAAATTTTAGCGTTATAACCGTAAATATTAATATCGTATCATAATTTATTATAAACCACAACAAGCGTGCATTTTCAGGAACCATCAGCAACGAAATAAGGTTGAGCAAGGCAACGAATTCTCATCACTCTTCCGCAGCACTAGCAGCACTTAAATCCACACTGAGGTCAAGAACCTGGTAAAAATTCAGTCAGTAAAATTAAGCATCAGAGAAGCCCATCCCCTGTTCGTTTCCAGGCTCCACAGCTGGAAACTAGCTTGCCACTGGCATGCAAAGGCGATTGCAACAAAAACCAATCAACCAGACTCTCCAATTTAGTCACGTCAACTTTCATTCTCACAAATCAATTCCAACCAATGTTTACAAACTTACACCGGTCCAGGAGCAATACAAAGTATCCAAAAGTCGACATCCACCCATGATAACCAATTGACTATAAGAAACAAACAATCATCATAATATTCATAAAGATCATATCTATAAGATGCAAAGTCATTAACCTCAAAATTAGGAAAACCACCCATCATCATCAGGTTCAATCGGAAATCAAGTCATCAAACGAAGCCTATGCAATATTCATATTTTCATCACTTACAATTAAATATTTAAAAAACAATTTTCAAATTTGAACCAGTCCAGTAGGAATACAGATTCGAAATTCAGTTATTATATGCAGATTCACGCATTTTATAAATAAACTAACAAACAAACATCATAATATTCATAAAGATCAAATCTATATACAATGCGCATTCATCAAATCTACAGGGTAGACATCTTATCATTACATTTATCCGTCCTCTCTCTCTCTCTCTCTAAATGCACCACGTACATTTACTTTTTACTCCAACCTATAAATGGAAAGTCAGGGGACACAAGGATCAGAGAAATAATGTTGTAGAGGCTCTAGACTCCAGCTAGACACATGGGTCACTTTTCACTTTCTGTTGCTACTAATATTTTCTATCTGGTTTTTCGAAGCACCCTGTTTTGAGGATCAAATAGAAGTGAGGAGAGTGCTGTTGCCGTGTGTTCATTGTGTTTTCCACTTTGTATTAGGGAATGGGGTTTTGGGCAGAATCAGGGAAGTTCCCTTTTGTAACATTGATTCGGTTCTAAAGCATATAATAGCAAAACCCCAGTATTTCCCAATTGCTATCCTCTGGCGTTGATTTTCTACTGCTGCATTCATATTTGAAGCAGAGCTCTATCAGAATGCACAAGATTTGATCTGCTACGGTACTCTTTCTAAGGATCCATTGAAACAGCTCAAGCAATGACACTGGTTTGGCTTTGTCATTGCCTTCTTCAGAGAATCACGACAGTGCAAATAGAATGAATCTATGTATGGGGTTCATCATTGGGCTTGGGTGGATTTGCATGGGAAGTTTGTAAATGAGGAAAGATGCATTTTTTCTATGTGATTTTTTAATTCTTATCTTTCATTTGATTTTGCAAATTTGTTTTCTTTCATGTATAAGTTGATTGGTTTTTGTCATCGGTACTATCTGAACATTAACATTGATACTTGTTCCTCATATTTAATTGAATGCTTCTGCTTTTCTTTGTTCCCTCCTTCATCTTCCTCTCAATCAAAACTAGCAACGAAATCATTGGGGAGCTTAGGAACCACAATCACACACCCTCTCAATGCAGTGGTGTCACCGAAAATGAAAGGATCAACCTAAGGCTTCTTTTTATTAGAGAATCTGACTCAGCCATTTGGTACGTAAATGTAAAATGTCTTGTACTTTTGAATAAAATAAGTATTCTTAAATGATGATAACCAAGTGTAACATGCGAAAATGGGGAGATAGTTAGGCTGTGCATGGGATGAAATGATTACCCACCTCTGAAAGAGAAACATAGTAATACAACCATTCCTTCTACAATGAAAAAAATACATATACTTCCTAGAAATAAAAATCAAGTTACAACTATACCCATTTGACCAAAATATTTGGATATTAACTATACATAGTGTGGCAAATATTTAATACATAATTGATACTACCTTTGATCCTCAATATAAAAACTAATTTGACATTCAATTTGATCATAAATATAAGAATCCAATCCACCTTGTCTCTCATATTTATCCATTTTTCTCAAAGTGGTCCTTGTAATAGTTGCACATATTAAAAATTCTATTAAATGATAATTTTTGCTAATACACATGATTAGCAAGAATATTCTAGGAAAGATAACACATATTTATTACAAATAACTAACTTAACAAACTTCCTTAATCTACTCAAATTAGTCAACTAGCTTTATATTAAGAACCAGAAATAATATAAAATAACCATAACCCATTTTTCTAATTTTAGCATGTTTTAAAATTATTATGCACTACATATACACACTAAAAATTTCACAATAGACTTGTAAAAAATATAACCAATTCAAATGTGAACTAACAATAATTATTTTCAACAATAATGAGTATTATATACATATATATATAGAAACATAAGCACCATCATACATATAACAATTTAAATAACAAAGATTAAAAAAAATTCTCATATGCATCTTTAATAAAAGAATTTAATCTGATCCTCAAAATATTGTAATAAAATGAATTTAGTTGGAAAGCATGTTTTACTTTCAAAGGAAATTTCTATCCGTTTTATTATAACAGGAGGGGCAATATAATTTAACCATCTCTTATAATAAAGAAAAGCAATAGGAAATTTTCTATTTCCCGGGAGTGGTGTGCGGCGAGTGGGATGGAAGAAAGCATGCTCTTGCCCCAAAAAATATCATTCTGAGGAGAGCTTAAGGATCCAACGCTAAAATAGATTTTTATTGCCCCCCAGGCACATGATTTCAGAGATCCAGATGTCACCATTAAAAAACATTTGAAGATATGTACTTATCAGTGCTTAGCTATGCTACTTTGACCAAGAAAAACAAGCTAGGGTGTGAAATCATATTAAGTTATAAAATGTGGTAGAAATGAACCTGGTAAATATAATTTTCACTTTTACAGCAATTTGCTGTGTTAGAATAATGCCAATTCTGGCAATCTCATTGGCGTATGATAAAACAAACACAAACAAAAACAGGTTGATTCAAGCACAGAAAACAAGTGAATTAATGGTGTGAGGCAGACCTTTCCGGTTATCATTGTGTACATGCTGAGGACATCCATAACCGTTGACTCAAAGTGCGTAGTTGCATCATAGCTCTGTCAAACAATTGGGGGAGAAAAAAAGTTACCATCTACTGCCCAAGTATCAAACTTACACAGTGAGAATTGACAATGAACAGTTTATCTTGAAGGCCAATGAATATTATACCAACACCCCCCCCCCCCCCAAAAAAAAAAGTGGCCAACTTTTGATGTGGTTTTTTTTTTTTAATGGGAAAATAATCGAATTCTCAACCGCTTGCTCAATGTCCCGCTAACATGTCAATGGCCACTTCAGTCAAATAGCCTAGACCCCACAATCTTTGACTATAACATATACAATAAACTCACTGTTGATATAAAACAGTTGTCCAGAGAAGGTTCATTGACAGGTTCATATCTGTCATAAATATCGAAAAAAATCTCATCAACAGGCCCCAGAAGGTCAATTCCAGGCTTGAGTTCAATCTCAGGCCGATCTGTCTCTGCCTCTGTTGATACAAATGCAATAAATTTTCCCTTCGGGGCAACATTGTGAGAATATGAGCAACAAAATAGGTACCTGCCCAGCAGATAAAACAAAGTAGTCAGTGCAGACGGTAGAACAAAACTAGATTTTAGGATTGATCAATCATCATGAGCTCAAGTGCAACTAAGATTTACTAAAAAATTTGCAAGGTTTAGCTTTGATAAAATTGACAATGCATACAGGGCAAGGGCATACGAGGTCATGTACTTACTAATTGATGGAGACTTAGGTAGCACGTGCCTAAGTCTCACATTAAGTGGCATGGGATGCTCATTGGAATATTTATACAGGGTGGCTTTCCCATCTCAACAGCTAACTTTTGGGGGTAGGGTTCCCCATCCCACTTGAGCAAACATCACAATTATTTATGGTAATCAGAAGCAGTAAGCAGTAAACTTAACAATATTTAGGTTAGTATGAAATTATTCAGCCTTTGATGGTTTAGAAATAGACACTATGGCAACCAGTTTGATGATCAGGCAGACATTGTTTACGCTAACTTTTGGTCTCTACAGGGAAAATGAAATACGAATATGTTCTTCATTCTTATAAGTTAGTCCAGCCTCTTTGGACCTCAATTTACAGGTTCTGATAATTTTCAGAGCAAAATGGCACATTAGATTCTTTAGGTGCTGCTTTTATTGGCTTGTGGCGTCTACAGCACAGACAATAGGCTAGTGTGTGTTTCAAACTTCTCTGTAAAATTCAGGAGTGCTTTCCAGCAATATTTTCAAAGCAGGCTAGCTGAGTTTAGTTCAAGGAAGCCTCAGGTCAGGCCAATTGATGGTCCTAACAACAGGATATATATCAATGACCTACTGAACTATTCTTTTTTTTTTTTTTTTTTGGGGGGGGGGGGGTGGTAAAAGCTTACATGTCTGACTTTCGGCCCAACTGCTTCTGTGGCAGAATAACTTGCACTGAATGAGAGTCATTGGTGTTGGGTATTGGGTGGCTCATAATGGCAATTGCTCTTGCAACCCTGCCAACCTTCCTCACCTGTGGACACAGTTACAAATTTCAGTTAGAGAAAGATAGTGGATTCACCTTTCCCTTTATCAAGAGCATCACAGCTCCCCCTCCCCCTCCAAAAAAAAAAAAAAAAAAGAAAAGTTCAGTGCAATCATTTTATTCTAATTTGGGTTCCAGGTGTAAATGCAACTTGTTATAAATAGCCAGTCACACCGCTTAAATTGTTTGAACATAGTCAATAGGGCTTTGATTGGCAGTACCTTATTGGGCAAGTACGATGGATCACAGACAACTCTTTTGCACTTTGCAGTCTCCCCTTCAGATGTGACCCCAATGACCTTTCCCTCCTCATTAAATTCCACCTGGCATTCAGCCAAATTTAAAATCAGTTCCTCAAATAGTACTCGTATCATAAGATTGTCATCACACAGATCAAAATCACAGAGAAAAATTCAATAAAAACAAAAGCAGCTGAATGGACAAATGAAAGAATTGAGGGAACAGTACATTGTATTCATTAAATACATATGTTCATATACATTAGAGTCAGTTAACTAACATAACAACTTGACTAGCATAATCTCTAACTTCCTTAACTACCTAGCTACCCTCAGATGGCCCTCAAAGTGAGCGTGGATAAGAACAAACACTTTATCCCTAAAACTGATGGAAGGCCACTGCTAGAGTGTTAGTTTACAGTGGGCACAGAAAATCTCCAAAACTGGTGTCAGATTCTGTGGACAAAGAGGTTATTCACGTGGACAACTTCCTCCTAAATGCTGTCAGATTTCTTATTTTGTAGTTTAGTGTTCTCTGATGTACTGTCAACTTTCAAGGTTAATTAAGATGATGTGCTGTCAATAACCCATTTGCATAGCAGTTGTGTCATGAAATATATGCAAGAAATTTCAGTTTATGGAATGTCGGACATATTTCAGTTTCTAACTTGAGGAAATTCTACCAACGGCTTTATTAGTTAATGAAGTGAGATTCTTGCTTCATGAATTAATAAAGTTATTCCTTCTCTATGAGTTTCATGTTCGCTTATACTAAGTCTTGACAAAAGCACACAAACTAATAACGGAAGAGAGGTTTTGTGAGAACATATGCTGTCTAATCCTTGAAGGGCACAACTTGCAGCTTGCTTCCTTTACACTTTTCTTCTGACGAAATGAATATCCAGCTCCATATGCTCAGTCCTAGCATATAAAATGGCATTTTCTGTTTACACCACACATTGATTGTCATAGTAGGCAATAGGAGGTTGTAACCAGGAAATTCCAAGTTCTGATATCAAGGTCTGAACGTGAGCTATATCATCTATAGAAGGCCTAAATACTACTGTCTGATCCATAGAGTACCAAGCTACAGGGGTGTTCGGCCACCCCCATGGCCCCGCCCCCGGGGGGGGGGGGGGAAGACCCACACACACCCACGTCCAGAAGCAGACCTTTTATCATCAATGTCATAACCCCAGTCATGCGCTAGCTATATGTCATAAGCTTCAGGTCAGTTGATTTCCTAAAGATATCCCATAATCTCCTGTGCCAGCCAACAGCGACATATTGTACAGCAACAATAGACCTATAGACATTCAGATCTCTAATACCACGAAAGAATTCAAGCGATAGTGCACTGTACTAATTAGATGAATATGTTCATATACGCAAGGAATCAGTTAGCTTATCCTGCATAATAACTTGACTAACTAAATCTCCAACTTCTGTAACTACCTAACTATCAATACAAGATAAAAGGAATTTTATCTCACTTCAAGACCTATTCCACCCGGGGGGAAAAAAAAAAAAAAGCTTAATGAACTAAAGCAAATAGTAAAATTTATTTGCATCTAGCTGGTATTTCCATACATAATCTTTATAAGAATCATTAGAGTGTCTGTACCTTGCACTCAGGTTTGTTCAACATATATGTCCCGCCATAAACTGCACTAAGCCGTGCAAATGCCTGGAAATTAAAGATGATGCTAAATGAACATAAGCAAAATAAGTTCCACAATAAACTCAGGAAAAAACCAGAAGCCTGATGCTAGATAGAGAGATTAGAAGAGAATAATACAAGACCTGGGGAAGCTCTCCCAATCCGTACAAGGGATATATGTAAGGTGATCCTCCTTGAAAACGAGCTAAAGATTCTGCATATAGCTACAGATAGAGAAAACCAGAAAGAATCCTTAAAAACACACCGGACAAATAAAACTGTCAACAAAGAATTAATAACAACAGAAACAAAAGATCAGGCGTAAAATAATCCAAAAAACTCACCTTCATTCTCTTGACAGTGTCTAATGCTGGCTCATTCAAGTAGCGATCATCTCTATGAAGTGCCAACGCATGACCAATAAAGTCCACAGTGTTCTCATCGAGGCCATATTTTCTGCAAAGGGTCAACAAGGAAAACCAAAAAGTACATAAACTCTTCCATGACAAGGCTTTGCCCCTCATTATGAGGCTAAAGGACCTGGTGTAGGATGAAAGGAGAGTACAAAGATTTGAAAGGATGAGGGATAAACCGAGCAAAAGAGAAAGAAGGGTGCGTCAGGATGTGAGAGGAGAGCTTGGATAAACATCACTGAACAATATTAAACTACAAAAGTCACCCAGAATGCCAACTCATTAAAATAAAATAAATGAAAATGTTAAACTCTAATGTCAGTTATATTCTCAATAAAATAATCCTAATATTAACAAAATCCTATTTTCTATATTTATGTTCAATTCTGGTTCCTACTTTATCTTTCATAATCTCTTTCCACTTTATCGGGACCCCTATGACACACGCACTCATAATAGTTAACACACTAATAATTTCACAAATAAATACAAATTTAGGTTTGAATCAAGATTTCCAGATAGATGGGATAAGGAATTTGCACATTTGACACATAATTTAAATATTAAAAATAAAAAATAATTACAAAATAAGAGTATCAAGCATAAACTTTTTGACTGCGAAGTGTTACTAATGGTGTGCGGAGGTCATAGGGAGGGATAACCACAGAATTGCCATGACACTATGGTGGATGGGATCCCTGATGAATACCATAGTAAGGCATGGCAACCGGTAACACATACTGAAAGAAAATAAACATTCATGTTAAAGACGCTCTCTTGTAACATTAATAACCATATCGCCATATAAACACTGTTTTGCGTGAGAAAACTATATCACGGACAAATAAATGAGGTGCCATTTAAAAGTATTATATTCAGGACAGTAATTATTACTGATTTAATGGAACATCGTTATGCAAAAAATCAAGTCCACAAATTACAGTTTTAAATCAACTAATATTAAAAATGTATCTAACCATGTGCTGACAAGTAAATAAGTATATACATACGCTATCAGTTCTCTGGTAGTTACTCGTGTCAAGTCCATCCCTTCATGAGTTTTAGGATCGTTCTCATCATAATCTTGAACATAAATGAAAAATTTGCGTGCGCGACGTTTTTCAAATATACCCATAAGTGGAGATTTTAAGGCCTCCATGTCAGTTGCCGGTACCTTGTGAATCTATCACAGTGAAGGTTTCCACCAGTGAGGCAATTAATATTAATTCATATACATGGAATCAAAAGCAAAAATTTCTCCAGCATCATAAAAATGCAACACACCTTTCCTTTGTTATAGACAAAGCTGCCGTCCACAGCTTTAAAATAGAGATACTTTGTGACATCAGTATGTATGAGAACACGCACTAAAGTTCCATTAGCCATCATAAACTAATTAAAAATGGAACAACAAAGTTATGTCTGTGTGTTGAGAATACATCAGATCAACAAAAATGAATAGCAAATAAACAATCGAATGAAAAACCTTAGGGATCATATCCACGTTATAGTCCCTACTAGATCCCAAATGAGCCGGAGGCTTGTCATTTCCCCGGAACCTCTTCCAAAGCTGAAGACAAATCATCGAGTTTAAATGACAAGATCACAGAAAATTGCAGAAGGAGCTCAGCATATAGGATAGTTAAAATTAATGGACCTGTACAAGATTAAGCGATGTGGATTCTCCTCCATAATAGTCATTCCGGTCCATATGAAGGACCTGAACATCGAATATTATTTTCCAATTAGTTCCATCTCAATATATTCAGAGATGATGCTTTAGTTCAGAGAGTGGAAAAGACTGATGATAGGTTCAGCCGAGAGTCTAAGGATGCAATTACATAACAAGAGACATATTTTAGCTGCTGATAAATTTTACTAGCTATAACATATTCAAACGCAATAGAAACAATAGATCGCCGTAGAATCTTCAAAGTAGGTAGAATTTCGGTCTAGGATGCTGTTAAGCATCGGGATCTGAACAGTTAGAAAACCAACTGAAGTTGTCAGCTTGGATCTCAGACTTTTAACCATATCAAAAGGGAAAGGTACACTCATCGAATATAAACTAATTAATGAGTGTATAATAACAGTACAAAAGACCGTGAGTCTAAAGAACGTGAGAAAGCAAGAGGCAAGCATCTAAAAACCTTGAGACCATCGACGGAGAGAAGACCACTGAGAATGCATTCCTTAAGACCCGTGCCTAGGACTATAACATCATACTCTTCATCCATGGTGAATTGCAAATTCGAAGTCAAGCTCGGGGCTGAGAAATGAGAAGAACGACGGTTCAAGGGAAAAAGTTAGGGTTCACGGTGCTCTCCAATAAGTAATATATTTATAAATCTTTCATAATTTGCAGGGTCAGGGGAAGATACTTTCATAACCGAAGAGGGAAATGGATCCCCCCGCTTTGAAATACTCCTCCAGTCCTTATTATAAGACCCAATTTGATTTTTTATTTGATCCTAATTATAAGACCCAATCCATTTTCTCTCTTATATTTATACATTTTTTTCCAAGATAATCCTTCTAATAATGATAGTTTTAGCCAATATACTTAATTAGCAAGGATATTTTAGGAATAACAACACTTATTTATTATAAATAACCAACTTAATTTACTTCCTTAATCTCCTCAAATAAGTCAATTGGGTCTTATAATTAGGACCGGAGGAGTATTTTTTTGACCTGGCTTTGAAGTTTGAGACACTAGTGACTGGCTGCGAGAACTCTTTTTTTTTTTTTTTTTGGGACTGAGACTGGCTGCAAGTATTAAGTGTATCTGATAGAATGTCCTAGGGGTGTTTGGATAAAAACTAAATTATAGTTTCAGAAATACTTTTAGGGATTACGAAGTAAATATGTAGAGGAGGTTACCTCGTTTTGCGGAAAAGTGCTTCTGAAATCGCAGTTTTGAGAATGCCAAACACCCCTTTAGTAGATGAGGTGTTTTGAGGGAGAAAAAAATACTCCTCCAATCCTTAATATAAGACCTATTTAACTAATTTGATTAGATTAAGAAAGTTAGGTAAGTTAGTTAATTATAAGAAATGTGACACATTTTTCCTAAAACATCATAATCATCTCTCTTAATACCTCATCTCCCTCTTTTACTTGATTATGGTTGAGAGAGTATCCATAGGGATAATTTAGAGAAAACTGATAAATATAATAAATGGGTCTTATATTTAGAACCAAAACCAACTTAACAATTAGCTCCTATATTAAGGACCAGAGAAATAACTTATAAGTGTGATAACTCAGTTTATAAATTTGAAAGCTACTTATTATAGCTATTGATTAATCTGATTTATAGATCAAAAATTGTTTTTTAAGCACAATTATAAAAACACCTAAAACTTATTTATAACTTGTGCAAAAACAGCTTTTTGCAATTAAAAGATATTTTTGTTCTTATATTTATACTGTTCTTATGCTTCCCTCTTTATATTTTTTGTGCTGCCCAGTCAATTTTAGTTTTTTATTTTTAATATTCTTTTAAATAAAAATAATTTTCAACAGTTTTTATAATATTTTTATTTTTAATATTATTTTTTATTTTATATTTACATAAATTATGCAGATTATATTATTCAATATCTATGATTTCTAATTTAAATATGTTTTATTCATTAAATATAATTTTTTCTATTATAATAACTTAAAATTATTATATTTTGTAAATTTATATTTTTATATTTTTATTATTTAATAAAATTCATACTCATTTTGGTCATTCTGACAAACCAAACTTATTTATTCAATTATTAACCGAACAACTCTTTTACTTTACTAACTAATTTTTATAAAAGTCAATTTAAATACAAATCACGTTATCTAATTTTACTTTTCTAAAAATCAATTTAAAAATAGGTTAATTTTTCTAGCATTAGTCTAAAAAGACCCATTATTACAATTGCAATAAATAATCATTGCGATTACGTTCCGACACGCACATACACACACGCGAATCTCACGTTTGCGGTGCTAATCCGGACACAAAGATTCTGGTTCCGTAAATTTAGATACTGAAATTTTTATCCGCAAAATATTATTATTGATTACTCCGTAAATTTACATATAAATTTATTTTTATTTGTAATTTGTAAATTTGTAAATATGTCTAAATATTTTTATACATAAAATGATTTTTTTTTACCAGCTATACATAAAATGATTTGAACTCTTATTTCTTGTCTATCAGACTCATTCAGTCACTCCACTAACCCCTATCATTCGAATTCATTGCTGGTAAATATTAATTGAGCATACTTATTATAAAAAAACAAGTAAGTTTAATATTCAGTATCATGGATACGAAACTAAATTGTAATGAAATTCTATGGCATGTTTCGTTTAAAGGTCATGAAAAAATCAATCCTTTATTGTGTGTATCTTTACAGTATTATCGAATTTAATACTTTATGTTTATCTAACTTCTGTTTAACACAATCTACTCTCCTCTTTCTTATGCTAAGAGTAAGAGCTGATCAAGTGCTCTTTTGATTGCCTTCGCAAACATCCAGAGAAATTCGGTATCTCATTTCTTAATAGCATAGTAAAAACAAATAGAAAAATCAGACTTTGATTTATCAAAATTGGCATCCGAAATAAGTACATCGAAGCAATGCCATTTTTTAAATAAAAGGGCACAGCGCACAGCTGTTCTCAAGAATGAGATCTGGATTCTCCTGAATCTAAACGGTTCAGGGATGGCCAAGCCTTAGCAATCCCGTCTCTCCTCAATCCCTACGAATATATAATGTATAGACACGCATCACAATTGTCTCAGTCAAGGTAGAAGAGAGTTACAATCTTCCGCATGTTTTTTGCCTCCTGACAAGTTTCCATGAGCAACCTACTATCATGGAAAGCAAAGCAAATGACTTGCTGCACGTGCATAAGGATGTTCATATTGCATAACCTGAATTTGAAACATCAAAAGAATGTGTTACTCTCGCCAAAAGGGGCAAAGAGGGGAAGGCAGAGATAATGTGTCACTATTCATTCTACATAAAGGATAGGACGCTAGAAAATTAATTACAAGCAGAAAACAGTTGCAACTTGCCGAAACCTTATTCATCGAATTTATCAGGCTATAATCAGAATTTATCATATGATAAGACACCATTGACAAATAATTCCTAGAAAGTAACATCTAATTTTCAGCATTACCAATTTTCACATTAATACTGATCACTGATTTTTAGTGATGGCAATGCTGATAACTTGTTTCAATGTGATATCAGGAAAAGGCAAGAAACATATAAACCTGCTGGCCTCTATTAGAGGTAGATGGTCGTTGTGAGGCTTCTCTATCACATTTTTAACCTGCACAGCCAACGAAATCATTTAAATTACAGCCGCATGACTTTTATTTGAAAGCAAGGAGTTATTTTGAACCTAGATTAGAATAGTATCCCAAGCTCATGGAAGGGGGGAGGTTTTTTTTTTTTTTTTGGGGGGGGGGGGTGGTGACGTTTAATCTTAGAACAAACAAATAAGAAGACTAGTTTCCCGGAAACAAGTTTATCTACAGTAATCTAACAGTATGAGGAAGGAATTCTAGATCCGAGAGAAAAGAATTATCTTAGACAAGGGTGCTATCAAACAGCCACAATGGGCAGGTTCGGATTTGTGGCACAATGCATGTAATTGTAGTGCGTCAAGACCTGAAAATTGCTGTGGTGGACAGGAAATCGAAATTGGGCCAGTGCAGTTATATGAGCTACATGGATTAGGTGGGCAGGGTTGGTGACTCGTTGGAACCAAATATTGCTTACGCCAGGGACGACCAGACATATGCTAACATGTCAAACTTCAAAATGAAGAGCTGGATCTCCTGTACTGCAGGCACCTAGGCTATCCTAAGTAAGAATTAACAAGTGTTAATCTATACCATCCATAAATGTCTGTTTCATCCATTTTCATGGCTCCCTTTCCCTGCAAGAGAAATATTCCATGCCCCAGTAATATCCAAGTTGAAATTTTCAGCACATACAGATCGATCATCCATCCCACATGCTGAGAGAAAATTAAAAAAAAAAAAAAAAATCCATGCTGATACTTCGTTTGCCTAGACTTAATTGAATATTAATGCAGCAATTTAACACGCCGTGGTAAGAAAATATTACATTTTAATGTAGATTATTCAAAGTAAATATATAACTATATATAAATTTTAAATTTAACAAAAAGCCAAATAACTGATCGACACTTAATATGTTGGTGAGGAAGAGGCCTGCTGAACAATTTTGTATCTCAAGGTAACCATCAAATCCGGCCAAAGCTAACTTATATTCTAATTTTTCTTGGCACTCAGAAGTCAAAACAACAGAATGACAGACAATTTTATTCTTAGTAGCCCAAATTTTAGCATCTAAAGCTCCTATTAGGACAAAGAAACCACTCTCAAATAGCCATTGACCAAGTAACAAAGTGAGCTCCGACGACCACCTTATCCCCAAGAAAAAATAAATAAAACAAAAAAAACTCAACGTTGATAAATTAGGCATTTATCTGCATTCGTAAGAAATGAATAACAGCATGCATTGTGTGTATATCATTTGAGACTAGACTGAAGGGCCAGCAATCATTAACCCTGATGGATCAACTATCCAAATGAAGATGCTGTTCATGCCGTCCAAAGTCTTACCCCAAGAAAAGAAAAACAAAATTCAGGAGAAACCTTCATAATATCCTCATACTAATGTTCCAACAACTCTGAAAGAGATCATTCATAAACCCTCTAGGATCAGGAACTACAATTGGATACATGCTCCTAATAGCTGTTCTTTTCTTCGTCCTCAAAACGAGCTGACTTGCAGTAAATGGACTCCAATCTAACCCCAAAGAAACCGTTTATGATTAGAATAAGTTTCTTTTCTTTTAAAAAAAAAAATTCAGATAGAGGCCCCCTAGATTCTTTAGCTATCAATGATCTGGTCTCTAGCCAAATTGCTGAACGATCTTGATCTCCCAAATCAAACTCCTACCAGAGGCAATGACGGGGCACAATTTTTTTATATTTTATCCTATATTAATTCATGGTTTAAATGATATTTTGAGCTGAAATGGATTTTTTATGCATTATTACATTAATTGATTGATTTTGGCATTTTTCATAAAAATTGGGATTTTTGGGCGAAAATATGAATACTTTTGTGGTTTCCTATTTTTTGCTTGAATTTAATATTTCCTATTTCTTTAGATTTAATTCCCATATTTTTGGAAAGTTTTCCGATTTCTTGCCTTATTTTAGGTGCATATCTAGTATTTAATTTTGATATGGGTTATATTATATTTCAATATAATGCATTTAAATTTTTCTAGATCAGGGAAGAGCAAAATAGGAAATATAATAGTGCAAAACAATTTCTTGAAACTCAAAGACAATTCAATGACTAAGTTTAAATGGGGGCTTAAATCCCATACCTAAAAGCCCCTTTCTTCCCCTATAAACAGAAGCATTCCCTCATGAGACGGGGCTGCCACCTCCCCCTGCACTCATTAATCCTCATTTCATTTGTTCACTTATCACCCATCCTTCATTATTCCATCAATTTCACGCTGAGAGCTTGAGCTTACTTGGGAGACAATCTAGTATCGAGCTAACACTTGAAAATCATAAGGGAGTGATTCCATTTATCTTTTTAGTTCAAGAACTTGAGATTATTTACTTTTAAATAATTTTGAGTTGTATTCCCATGAGACAATTTAGTTCTAGATTGTCATTATTTTTATTCCTAAATTGGATTGATATTTGAATGATATTTGTGCTGAGATATTTGCTAGATTTTATGTTTATGAACCCTTGCATTATTAATTAAATTTATAATTGAGTTTTCATTATGGATTTAATTATTCAAATTGCAAATTTGGTTTTTGCCTCATAATTGTTCAATTAAGTAGGTAAATTGTCTTATTGTTTAATTAGATAATTTTAAACATAATTTCAAAAATTAATTCGGATAAATTGTTATTGGTTTTTTAAGTGTTTAATTAACTAACCTTATAACGTTATGAGTTTTCTAATGGTTTAAGTGTTTTTGAACTAGAGAGTTTCCCTTATTTCAAGTAAGTAATTAAACTAAGTAATTCCACTCTCTTGTTACTTCCCTTTTGAGCTATGAAAGTTAACTCTATGGAATCTTAAGTTGTTACCTTTACCATACTTGAAGAGAAACTTCTCACTTTTACTTTACCAATTTTCTTTGCTCTTTAGTTAATTTTCTTTATTTATCATTTTAATTTTTTCCTTTCAAAAAACTCCCCCCCAAAAATAACATTTGCATTCATTTAGTTTAGTTTCATTTTCCACATAGATTAGGCCATTTGCATATCGCATAGTTTTATTGCATTTAGATTTAGTGTTTTGCACTTTAGTTTAAGTCTATTCCACTGCATTATTCATCACATAGATTCATATCTAAAGAAAACACATAAATTACTCCTTAGGAGAACGACCTAGATTGCCACTATATTGCATTTATAGTTAGACCTAATTTAGTTGAGTGCTTTAGCAACATAGGCATCATCTAGCATCCAGTGGAAAAATCTTCGTTAGGATCTCATTCTTCAATTAAAACCTCCTCAAACTCATTCTTAAGATAAGCTGTCATTGCAAACATAGCTTCTCAAAGCAAACATTCATCCATCCCGTGAGTGATAACAGTTCATTACTATGGATAAAATGTTAAGAGACAGATATGCACTCACAACCACAGAAATAGAGACATAGAGCAACCAACGTTCAGTAGATAAAAATACGAAGAGGCTAAGAAAAATCACGAGTACAACAGTTGCACATTCTTGATTCATAATGAGAGGAAGCTGAAGTGTGAACTGAGTAAGCACAGACACTTAAAACTTACTTTCGATAATAACTCCTGACTCTCAGGAGGCTGCTTCTTTAAGCTTTGAGGCAAAATGACTGTAAGTAACTCTGGTTTCTCTGCCCTTAAAGCACCTCGAATAACAGCTGCATTAGTCCCAGATGCTCCAGATGTATATATGTGGTTTTTCTAATAACAAAATTTAAAAGCAACAAATGCACATGTAGTTGTAAGAAAGAGTCATGGAAATTATAAGCAAAATATGGTAAGAACATGTACTCCATCACCACGTCATGAGCTCTACAAGTATGTTATTCTCTTGTAAGAAACACCAGTGTGAAGTCATCTTACAGTTATAACCATGGCATAGCTAAGGATCTCAATTAGCTCCTGATGCATGAATCCCATGTTCCGTGTACCAAAAAATCCAATAGCTCTAGGTCCTTGCTGTTGAATGGCCAATAACTCCTGCCAAATATCAGATTGCAATTCAAGATATTGTGCAACTAAACTTGTAAAATTATAGTTTAAAGTTGCAATTTTAATTTCGAATTAAGAATATTTTTTAGCTGCTTCAAAAAGCAATTTCAAAATTTAAAAAAGACAATGCTGGTCCGTCTAAATACTTTAAATACAGTACGTCACAGAAGAACGAACCCTGGTTATAAGTAGACAATTGTATTAATATGATTTTCCAAAGCTTAGAGGCTTAAAACAGAGACAGAGAGACTTTAAATATTGAATGCAGCTGCATGATAATGCATACCTGTAGATAATCAACATCAGGAACAGGCTTGAACTCTGATGCCAAAACTGCCCCTGAGCCTTCCACTACAGATTGGGCCTGTGTTGGAATTTGTATACCTACTTCATCGGAACCAAACATGCATACCACATTCTCCATTCTCCTGCCATGTTTGTCCTGATGTCTCTTCATATCTCCAAAAAGCCACTATACCATAAAAAAGAGTCCCTGGTACTAAAAATTAGCGAAAAACAACTACCCACAAGGAGAAGTTATCGTACAAGATTAAGATTGCATGAGTTCTTGTTAAATGGCCATACATACATATATACATACCAACGTACACGCACATGCACAGAGCAAATTAGCAACTATAAAAAGAAAAAAATGACGGGATAAATCAGCTTAATGAAAAGGGCTGAGTCATACCATAATCAAAAACCATATGATGACGCGGCGCTACTTAACTCACCAAAAACTAACTGCATAAGGCCATCTAGCCGACACTCAAGTGTCGCCAGATAAACATTCCTGGGCAAATTCTTGGCTTAACAAATTACCAATCTGAATGAAATGTTCATAAAGCCTCAACATGCGACTAAGTTAAAGTCTTCATTTCAAAAAATCCCATTTGAAATTTTGAAAATCTGGAATAGCCATATCAGTTGTTCCGTTAATACATCTAGGTTGCTGCTGACTATAGGCAGGATTCAATGCAGGGCTACAAATTAGACTGATCAATCTATACTACAATCCTCTGCTCTGCACTTGCTAATTTAAATTAAATCCAACTCCAGAAGCCTCCTGAACCTTTCCGACATCCGTACAAATCAATATGCTACAAAATATATGAAGATTTGAAGCAGAATAAGCCTCATCGTTATAGGAAAAAATAAATTATTTAGTAACCCTTCGTACAACATTCTATCATCGGACAGTAAGACCAACGAAGCGACAAATATATCAGCCTAAACATGCCAACTCATTCAAAACAAAGAGGGGGGAGTTTTTGAAAGCACGACATTAGATGGGGATAGATACCGTTCGTCTGGACAGAAATCCTCTGGCCCGCCGTAGACGTCCGTGCTGAGACGGAGAGAAGAAGTTACAGCCATTAAAATTAGGGTTTCCAGTGCAAAGTAATTCAAACGATTTCCATGAGGAATCTAAGTAGGGATAGGAAGTAACGGTGGTAGGAGTTAGAGGCAATTGCAAGGTTGTAGTCATTCCTCCTTCCCGGCTTTTCGATTCTCCGCCTCGATTTCCCTAAAACTTCTTTTCTGGGTCAGCCCTCTTTAATTCCACGCCTTTCTCCTTTAGGCCGAAAAAGAAAACAAAAAATAACAATGAGAACAAACGCCTTTTCTCCATGTCAACCCAAAAAGAAAAACAACGGGGAGAAGAAAGGGAAGGGGGAAAAAAGAGCACATAAAAACGAAAATAAAATCTTGTCTCCATCACAATCATTTTTTTAAGATTAATAATGAGTTAAAGGGTAATTTTCATCCTAAACTATCTCATAAGAAGTATTGTGGCGTTCTAAATTATTTATTAAAATCGTATTAATATTACTTCTTGGATGGATAATGCATTGACCATTAATTTTGATGTAAAAGGTATTTTTATTTTTAAAGTATTCATTAAAGGATGACTAATATTTTAAATGTGGAGCATTTGTGGTTCATATTTTTTTACCAAAATATGCCACATGACGAACTAACTAGGTATTTATTAATAAAAAAATTATAATAATCAACAGTGACATTGTCAAATATTACAGGCAAAAAGTCTTTTCACTTTTCTTTTTCTTTATTTTCATTCACTTCTCATCTCAACCATTAAGATTAAAAGTTTAATGATTTAGATTTTATGCTTTTGAAAATAATTTTATAAAGTATTTTTTATTATTGTTTTAAATTATACTGACTAAAATTTAGTAATTTTATTTGATTTTATTTATTTTTTTTTAAATTTTAACATTTTATTCATAATTTTATAAATATAAAATCTGAACTGTTAAAATTTTAATCTCATGGCTGAAATGAGAAGTGGATGAAAATAGGGAGAGAAAAAAAAGAAGTGGAAAGACTCTTATCCCAATATCACAATGCAATTCAAGTGGAATTATCCCCAAACAAATTCAAAGAAAAACCCACATTTTCATTCTCAAGTAACTGAAAAGGTAAGCCAAGTTCGATCTACTTTCAATCGTATGACTCCAAATCACATCAAAATCCAATACTGTATTTCATCATTAATATAAGAATTTATTTGAAATTAAATTTGGTTATAAATATTAAATGTCATTTTTTTTAAATTTAATTTTTTTTAAATATCTCTATTAATTATAATAAGTTCTCACTTCTCATCAACAAATAATTTTAATGTGCAAGATTAAAGAAAATAATTTTACACAAACAATTAACATAACTAATTTTTTTAATATCCCTAAATCAATTATTTATTTCTTATACTAAACATTGGATGTAATATAATAATGAAATAAAACCAAAATCCAAACTCAAAAATGAAGATAACATTTTACTTCACCTTAATTGAAAAAATCAAAGGGCTTCAAAACAAGCAGTCCAAAGATAGATAGCTTTTATAAACTTTGATGATACCATCAATATACTTTGGGGGGTGTTTGGATGAAATCAAACCATAATTTGAAGAATAGCTTCTACAGAATAGATTCTTGAGAGAATAAATTTTATGAAAAATAGATTTTGTAAAAAAGTAATTATGATAAAATGAGAGTGTTTAGATAGTTGTTATCAGAAGCACTTTTTATATGTGCAAATTACTAAAAAAAAGTATAAGTTAATATGATAATTACATAAAATATAGATTTTATAATATATTTTAATTTAAAGGACTAAAATTGTAAATAAATATTTTTTACAAATAGAAAAATATTATTTTAGTTTAAAGATTATACATATGAAATACCATGATATTTTTTACAAAATTAAATAAACACACATAAAAAAGGTCTGTTTGATGTTAGGGCCTTGTTATTGTCCGATCCTCCGATTAAGATTGTGTAAGCTATTGGGGCATTATGATTATATTCCTCTCTAGCAAGAGATGGGAAATATGTGATTTGGTTAATCGGAGAGTTTGGAAAAGGCCAATCACACAAGGACTTATTATTATATTGTGTAGCTTAGCCTATTGCTTTAGTCTCAGGGAATAAGATGAATATTAAATACTACATATAATACTTATTAGTTAAGTTGGTTATTTTTCACAAATGTGTGTTGGTTTTCTAAATTATCATTTTCAATTATGTGTACTAGGTGATTGAAATTATTTGTTGGTGAGAACTTTTTTACAATCAACAGGAAAATTTTGAGAAAATATAAGGGACAAATTAGATTGAGGTCTTATATTTAGAGTGTGTTTGGGTGACACCCCAAACCATGGTTTGGGGTGTCAATCACCCAAACACTCCCTCTAAAAACCAAAACCATGGTTTTGGGTCAAAATCATGGTTTTGACTCCAAAACCATGGTTTTGGAAAAAGCAAAATTTTTTTGTTTTTGGAGAAAAAAGGGAGAGTGTGAGAGCCTATATGATATATATCTTGTTATTTTTTTTATAAACATATTTTTTGATAAACATATTTAATCTTATATTTTATAAATATATATACACATTAATTATTTATTAATTATATTATCTTATGTATTATTAATTATGTTGGTAAAAAATATATTATTAACAATTTTAGTCCTTCAAATTAAAATATATCATAAAATCTATTTTTTCTGTAATTATCATATTAACTTATGTCTTTTTTTTAGTAATTTGTATATATAAAAAGTACTTCTGATAACAACTATCCAAACACTCTCACTTCTCATAATCACTTTTTTACAAAATCTATTCTTTACAGAATCTATTCTCCCCAGAATCTATTCTCCAGAATCACTTTTCCAAAGGACGGTTTGGTTTCATCCAAACACACCCTTAGAACCAAACCTAAGCTCCCAATTAGTCCTTCTGTTAAAACTTGGAAGTAGCGTGATATATTCTTGCGTACATGATTTTGAAATGTCCAAGAATGATTATGTTTATTGAAGTTTGATGCCCAATTTACTAGCTTACACGCACATATATAACAGATGGGTGTTACTCATAATTATTTTGGGGCGGGGGTTTGAAGATTTAAAACGGCTTTATAAAATTACGTCATGTGCAAATTTAATGAATGTTTTCAGTGAGTTCAAAACGCATGATGGAATATATGTTGTCATAATGTCAAATGTTTCATTACATCATACAAATACCAAAAATTGAGGAAGGCATCTCCCTAGTCCCTACCCTCAATATGATGCGACTTTGCCACTACCTATCCTAAGATGAATAACTACATTGATCAAAGTGAATTGAGTATTTACATCATGAACAACAACCTAAGTTCACCTAATAAAGGAAAATTGCCTTGGATGTTTCCCGACTTTCTTCGGTCAGTTTTTTCCTCTGATGATGTTCTTATTTATGTTGCTTATCATCCATCATGGATTTTTGAAATTATACAGATGATCAATCAAATCACGTGAAAATCGTATAAAAGCCTTGTCTAGACATTCATCCCTCCTTGGTTTCTTCTCCCACTGCTAGATTTTGTGTCAGCTCGAATTGTTATCGCAGATAAGCATGAACGTACACGAATCCTTTGACTATAAGTTTTATTTGAAAAACTACCTTGGACATGAACAACCAAAATCACTTCCTTATATCGGGCGTCTTCACTCCATAATTTCTGTGGTATTCCGTCTACAGATACTTCCAATGAATGAAGTTCCTCATTACGTACTGATACCTCTATATTTTGCTCTGGTTTGATTATGCCAGCAGCTGGAGTGACCTATTTACATAGTTTACAAAATGACATTATTTTTAATAGACAAATCAATGGAAACCAAGCATATGATGTGTATTAAGGTTATGAATCATAAGTATTTGACATTCCATGTAAAGAATAGATAAATGCCCTTCCTCTCCTTTATACATAATGATTCGTTTGTATCCTATTTTCTCTTCTTCGTCATAATTAATAATTGCGTGATAGCTAGAAAGCACTCCATGCTTCTCAAACTCTATGTATTACTAGAGAAATATTCTTAACAAATATTTTATTTTTATTTGTGAAAAAATTCTCATTAAAAATCAAGCCGGGGAACAATAGCCATGCTTATAATTATTGAGATGAAAAAATTTGATGAACACATAATTATAAATTAATAAGATTGTAATAAAATGCATACTTGCGGAGTAAAATATAGTCAACCATACATTATTAATAGCGTGGAAGGCAATTCCACTCAGAACTCATGCTTATTTTATAGAGCATGGCATATTTCTAGGGCAGCTCTCGTAGAGAAACTCGTCATTTATATGTGTGCCCACGAAACGCTGTATCTTTTGACCAGTATTTGTTAATTAATTTAAAACTAATTAAAACATCTAAATGAGACATACTATTACAATTTCTAATATGGTTATAAAAATCTCCATTAAGATAAATTTTAGGGTGTCATATATGTGCTAGACATGCATGATTTTTAGAATGACTCAACTAAACGGGCTATTTTCTCTCAAATTTTCAGAAATTGAATATCAAAAATAAATTTTATTGGCATCATTTTTACGCACAACAGAGCCACCAAGTTAGCCAAGACTTCTCGTATGCAATAAAGATCATATTCATTTTTCTTGGACAACTTTCAAAACCAAAACATACAAACATAAATAATAAAGTGAAACATAAACAGCACATACCTCAAGCCACCTAGGAAAGCCGAAGGCACCTCTTGGATTGCAAGTAGGCGCTTCTTCACTGGCTGTCACCGTATGCTGGCGTTCACAAGTGATCTTATATATAGCCTTCTCCTTCATACTTTTATTCGTTATATGGAGAAATGACATCTCCTGATTTTCAAGGACTATGTTGCTCGGGCTCACGATGGTTTCTGGAACACAATTCAAGCCTTCAAGCATGGATTTTATTTTCTCATTTGATGTCATGATTTTCCCTAATTCCTTTCTCCTTATTGATCTATCAACACGAGCAATTTTCAGATTGAATTTACATCGGACAGGTTTGTGATCACTATCATTCACATCCATGCATGCGTCATACCTGGCAATTGATTGCTAATTAATTAAGATGACAGCTTGAAGTGGAAAAATGATGATAGAAAGCGAAAGATGACCATATGTGACATACTGTACAATTGATGACACAACAGGACACTCTAAATTGCACTCGGATGTTGGAGCAGACCGCGTATCACGATACATTACTCTGTCACACCATGCGGGGATTCGCCTTTTCTCTCCAGAATCATATCCTTAAAAAAATATTAAGAAGTGACGTTGTCAATTAAATCCCACCAATGAAGGAAAATCTTTCACTCGATGACGTATCTATAACAAATTAATTCAATGACGTTATTTTTTTTTTTTACATACAGATATTTTTTTTAAAGTATAATTCAGAGTACTTTCAAAATATTTTGGGTTTAAAATTAATTTATGTTGAGTGAGGAGCTTTAAAGTTAAAGCTTTTTTAACAAGTATGTTTTCCTTTTTTACAGAGTGAGACTGCCTACCATCTCAATTGAAAACTTTGTCGGTAGATATTTCAAGTATATATATACAATTAAACGTAGATGTTATATATAACAATATTGTAGGTTTGGTATTGGACTATTGGTCAACTTTATTAGGTTAGCTATTACTTTAGTCTACATCCTTTGATGTTAATATCAGTTTAGTATAGCTGTACAATTCACGGAAAACTCTTACCCATTAAGAGCCACTGATATTTACGTGATTTGTACTATGAATCAAAGATAGTAATTAATATATATTGAACTAATGAGAGACAATCCACCAGAGAGAGCACACCCCTGAATACCCGATGATCAAATAAAATTGTCCTTTTACCCAAAAAAAACTCTTAAATCTAGTTTTTTGTATGCTTAGACCAGATTTGCCACAAAAATACTCTTTCGGTTCTTAATTAACTAATTTAAATATATTAAAGATATTAATTAAATTAGTTAATATGATATATTTTTTCAAAAATACCCAAGTATCTTTCTTAATTTTCTCTCTCCTTTTCATATTTAATTATTGTTAGGAGAATATCTACAGAGTTAATCTAGAAAAAAATTATGTGAAATAGTTTTTATATATAAGATCAATATTAACTCCCTAATTAGCTCTTATATTAAGGATTAAAGGATTATGTCGCTAGCTATCATGTTTATGGCTTGAAGCATTTTTGTATTTTATTTTTTCATCTATTAATGATTGCTGTTTTTAAACTTACGATGTATTGCAAACAAAGCAAGCGATGAAAAATGTGGCTCATCAAGAAAGGAATTTCTTTCCACCACCAAAAAGGTAGACCACAATGATGTATCATGAAAACTAAAACTATCTTTGAACTAATTAGAAGATATAACGTGGAATTAAACTAAATATAAAATCAAGCTATCGAAGCCAACAGGAGTATTTATAGTGTGTCAAATGTTTACCTGCAAGACCTGCTTTATGCCTCTCAAATTTATAAGTGGGAGGAAATTTGATCAGTGCCTCTCGCATTCCTTGGAAAACTTTTCCAGCTTTCATCTCTTTCCTAAGTTGATCCTTTTCTCTAAGCCAGTCAAAGCATCTTTGTGAAACAAAATCCCTAGCTTCATCATAAGATATACCAAATAGTCGATAGTTGAAATCACCGAAGAAGACCACCATATCTGCCTCAGATAATTCTGGCCTCGCTTCTTCGGTGTTGAAACCCATAGCCTATACACGCATGGCACAATGAAGCTTTAACAATTGTTATTAAAATGACAGTGGTGCAATTAATTACATATAAACAACTATGCAATAATGCAAAATTAATCTCACATTTGCACCACGAAGCATTTGAGTAGCAGTTGAGGCACCAGCTGTAGAGAGGAGAAGGCGAAAGAATAAAATCAACAATATAATTTCATACAAGGCAAGAAAGTAAGCCAATAAACAAGTATAGTTCACCATACCAGCTGTAGCGGTTGATGATCGACTAAAGACCATGTTTCGATAAATGTGATCAAAATCAGCATTTCGCCGATTCACTGCTTCCAAATGTGCGGCTAAGTGACAATTCACAAAGCACATTATTCTGTCATAGACTCTGATTCTCAAACCCACACCTCCCTGTGCGGTCAATTTAACAATATGAGTAGCAATTTGATAAAAGAGAAAAGGAATTTTTGCATATCCATGTAGAGTTACAAAATTCCCTCGTTTTTTGTCCTACAGACATGGAATCGTTTTAATGGTTTATTTTGATTTTATATTATAAAATATCTTCCAATTTAATACCACTAATTTTCCCATGAAACTTCAAAGATGCGCCTTTAAAAAAGAATTGCAACAATCCACTCTAAACCATATGATTGAATGAAGGCCTTCATTCAATACCACTAAGTTTCCCTCGCGATCGAACAAATAATTGATTTATTTAAATATTTAAGTTGTAGAATTCAAAGAAGATCAATTGTAACATAAACAAACAAATACCACTTTGATCTCAAATATATATCGCATGTAAGAAAAAAGTTTTAGTTCACTTGTAATGTATTTAATGTCTATTCTTTTAATTTTACTCTTATATAATTTTTGTTGAAACAGAGAAAAAGGGAGATGGGAAAATAATTTATAAACACAGAGAAAGAGAAAATTTTAATAAGAGTAAACTTGAAAATTTTTTAAATTGTCACATGATAAGTGGATTTTGGAATTTGACAATTTATTTTAATACTCGATAGTAAAGGATTAAATGTTTTTTGGGTCAAATTTCAGAATGTCAATGTCAAATTTAAAATATTAGTATCAAATTATTGGAGGACTTTTAATTCTTTATTGGAATCCCAGAATCTATCTGATCTGTTGATCTTAAACTAAAATTAAATTTATGTTTTGTTCTCAAACAGTGTTACTCTCTCTTTCCAAAATTGAACTTATCATCCTATGAAAAACAAATCGAACTTATCATTGAATTGGCCTAGACATTAGTTTAACAATTACTGGTTGAATAATCGTCATTAGATTGGTGAAAATTAAGTGAATATGTTTTTAAATTTATAATTATAATATCATAAATGCAATAAATAAACATAACATTAATGAAATATATTCTTTTTAACAAATAAAATACGAAAAAGTCAGAAAGTCTATCTCAACAGCATAATTTGTCTCAGTATAGAAGTACTATAGTAGTATCTGCTACCTCTGAATGCTTAGCATAAGAACTAGTTAGGAATCATATTTGGTCATAAATATAAGATATTAATACATTGTATCTCTTAAATTTGTAATTCGTTCTCTAAAATATCTCTATTTATTCCATATACTAAAAATGTTTCTATCTAAGAGTGATAATAATTAAAAGGATACTTTAAGAAATTCAACTTATATATATTACGAATAATAAACTTAACAAACTTTCTTAATCTACGTACTTAAATTAATTTAGTAGCTCTTATATTGAAGATCGGATGTAGTATTTTTTTAACTGGTCTTGTTAGTTTTTGGTTTGAATTTTATTTTATGTTGGATTTTTGGTTGAATTGCCTGGCTTGTGTTTAAAAACATGGGGATAAATTAATATCACCTAATATTGACACCAAGGAATGTATTATCTTGTCAGGTAGGTAGTTGGCAAAATTACACAAACCTTGTTACCAATTGTTCGTCCAAAGCCACACGGAACTGCTGCAGCATCAATATCTCCGACATGCGTTCTAAGATTTTTTCGCACCCTACATGAGGAACTTTAGCTAATAATTATATTGATTAACCTCAATATTTCACATAGACAAATTGGCAATCACTCACCAAAGAGATATGAGCAAGCCAGCAAGCTGTCTCGAACCCATGCGTTCAAAAGCTTTTCCTTCTTCTAAGGCCTTTCCAATTGTATCTAGCCACCATTGCCCCACCGAACTTCCTTCAAGTCCTACCTACAATTGGTACGCAACATTTAACATGATGGATATAAATTGTCTCCAATAATTGTTGAAATATACAAATGAATCTTAAAATAAAATTAAATTAATGGAGAAAGGAGAGAAAATTGTATCAAGAGGATAGAAAAATATGAGAGTATGTCGCCGTATGAAATGCATATATAAATATTAAATAGAAAAGCGTAATAACATGCTAAGGACATTCTTTCAAGTTCAATCTTAATTAACTAATCCGTTGGTTTATATCTCTTATAGATTCTATTCATATATTTTTTTCTTGTAAGAGTGCTTTCAACAATTTAACCAGTCACCACTCTATTAGAGTTTGATTTCCAATTCTGATTGTAGTAAAAAAACTACTATTGACATCTAATTAATCAAGGGTCAGATACATCAACATATGAATGACGTCTTACAGTTTCTTTTGCTGCAGACATTGCAAGAAAACCTGCACCCATTTCTACTTCTTGCAAACCAACAACAACAATGCCTACATCTGATATGGTAGATCCCAGCCATGATGTAAGAGATTCCTGAGAAGTTCTACCTTGCCCGACATTCCATGTGCCAATCAAAATTCTGACATTGTGCCGCCTTGTGTAAATAAGTTCTTTTTCAGCCAATTCTGATCTTATAATGTTATCAATAGGACCTGGTGAAGCAATGAGCCATCCCCGTATGCCGCCATGAGTAGCCAAGCTAAAGACATGTTGGTTGCCAACAGCTAATCCAATCACAGGGCTATTATGAGCGACCCATCCGGCAATTAGATTGCCTTCAAGGTCCAGTACTTGGATGATACCACTCACGTAACCTACATATATCCGTGTTCCAAATGTGCAGAAGCATTGGACTGCACAAGGATGGTGATTAAAATCTTGCACACGAGTCCCATTTGCATCCCACTGCACTAGCAAGCCATTTGTACATCCACTCCAAACCGATCCATCACTTGTTTGTACAATAGTTTCTATTCGTTTAGCCTCTTCTACAAACGCCCCAGCTCCCTTTGTTGCAACTCGACGGACAGCGTCTGCTGCTCCTATTATGGCATTACGTGATCGTTGTAGGAAGCTAGTCCCTTGAGATTTCTCTTTTTTGGAGGATGTAGATGCAAACTTAACCTTCATTTCATCTTCTATTGCTTGATCTTGCTGCACAGGCGATACGTCAACTCGGTTCTCTACTTGACCATCAATGTTAAATACTTTTAGAAGGTCTTTCGTACGGGCATCCCTGCAAATAAAGATTGATTCTCTAGTTACTCAATTGGGTGATGTGAGAGATATGACTAGTTAAGTAATGCTGATTAGTTAAGTAATACTGACGAATATTCTTATGATAAACTTGGATTAGAAGTCACCACAAAATTTCCCTAACACCAAAGAAAATTTTTATTATCATATTTTTCCACATCTACCTCAAAAATACAATGTCATTGGGACATAAAGTTTACCATAGTGAGAAGGACATAGGACTTGTGCACCAAACCCTAGCTTTAACATTGTCTGATAGCAAACACTTCACCTCTTGAGAAGATAAACTACAGACACCATTTACAGTGACTTGACTTCTAAGATCTATGTATGACCTCTCCACTAGTAAGGTTGCCATGTGCTTTTCTTCTGGAGAAAGGGAAAGAGACTTTTCAATGGACTCCCATGGCCAAATCTTTATGACACCCCCTTCTGATCCTGTCCAGATATCACCTACCCACCAAAGCAACATGGAGCACTTAGTTAAAATAACTAAAGTAAATATGTTAACTGTCATAAACAAATGCGATATAGCTAGCGAACTTTCTTTTCATTTCTTTTTTTTAAAACTATCCTTCATGATATATGTGCTTCCAATTGTCAAATCCAATAATTGTAGGAGAAGAAAAATGAGAAATTTAGCCTTACCATAGGAACTTATGACCATGGCATGAACGGGACCCTTGTGTGCTTGCCATGAAAGACCTTCCTTAAAGGCGTTACCAAAGGACTGATCCATTTTCCAAGACCTAATCTTTCCATCCTTATGCCCACTCCACATCAACCTATTTCCATGGTCAGCTGCCAAACATACGATTGGAGAGGTGTCTGCTGATTCATAAAACGGTACCGCGTCCTCATCACCCCTTCTTACTCTTCCACCGAGACCACAACCAGATTTATAGGCATTATGAAACTCCCACACCCTTAACCCACTTTCTTGCCCAGCCCACAATTGTGATTCTGCACAAGCAATGTTCCTAAGGAATTTCCCTGCTTGCGTCTCCCTTAATGGATGTGGTCTTAACTCGAGGTAAGGCGGTCGACCTGGATGAACAGCTGAACGGATCGGCACCTTGAATATCCCTATTCCACCGCCGTTCCCAATGAATTCCGGTAGAGGTTGGCATTGTAACAAGTCATCGACATTTCCACCGCTGTCAATAGTCTGCGACGTGTAATTATCACCGCCTGCAATAGTATGGTTATTGGATGAGTCGGGGAAAAAGTCGTCGTCGTCCTCGTACGAGTTGTAAAAGGAGCCGATATTGATGGGTATTCGTTTCTCATCTAGACTATGTTTACGAAGTTGTTGATGGGAGTTTTGAGTGGAGGTGAACCGCAATTGCTGGCTATAAGAATGGGCTTTCCGATGAGGAGGAAGAGTGCTCAATCCGGCCAAGACCTCCCTATCATCATCTTCAATTCGCTCATCCATGACTACTATTGGATGATAACCATAAGTTGTTCATAATTAGAGAACGAAGGAGTGGTATCTAAACAAAAATTAGGAGAACGAAAATGGAAATGAGATCTACAGAAGAGAGCCAAAATAAAGAAGGAGAAAAAAGTTTGAAGGGAGTTCCGAGAGATGGGGAAGTACATAAGGTAAATAAGCGGGAAGCAAGGCTAGGCATACTCGATGCTTACGGATAGAAATAATTTCAATTTTTTTATGAATTCCATATATAATTAGAACACCAACGTGAAAACTAAAAAGCTTAAGAAAATAAGGTCAAGAGATAATTTCATACTCTTATTAAAAGTTAAAACTAGTGTTTGACTTGTGAAATTCACATTGGAAAGGGATTATTAACAATAAGTAAAATTGAAATATTTACAGTTTTAATCACCTCCTATCAAAACAGTATCCATGCATGTGTGCGCACGGCATGAAGGTCAAAAATAATAAATAAAGTTAAAAATGAAATAAAGTATTATAAATACTTTGTGTGGAAGAGAGCCCGTGGAGAGAGAAATGGACATGAAACATGCAGCTCCAAACTATTTAGTTGCGTGTGTAAAGGGCAATTTTGTTGAATTTTCCCGCATCGTTCTCTTGCAAACACAATTTGCTATAGACTTTTATGTCTAAAATATTCATAATGAATTTAATACACTATCTACTCATATATGCGTGTGTATATAAATATAGTTTCTAGCAGACGTGCAAGCAGAATGCGCCATGGGGCAACCCTCCCAGTGTACAACACAATCAGATAAGTGATTCATTATTGTTCTTAATAAAATAAATATACAGTGTTATGATATTTGAAATTAAAAATGTTGATTTTTATAATAAGATTAAAACTTCTGGCGAAAAGAATAATAATAAGATTAAAACTTATTGCAAACGGACAGGAATTTATTATCATTCTCCCCAGGTAAGCAAAAAGAAATATTACGAGAGAGAAATAATTACTACACATTTTTAATATAAGAGTTGGTTTAACTTTTAATTTGATTCTGAATATAAGAATACAAAATCTCAATCCATTTTATTTCTTATACTTATCTATTTTTTAAAGAAAGTTATTGTAGTAGTTACACATGTTAAATGTTTCATCAAATGGTAGTTTTAGCTAACACATATAATTAGTAGGGATGTTTTAGAAAAGATAACACATATTTATTGCAAATGACTAACTAAATAATTTTTTTAATCTACCTAAATTAATCAACTGGCTTTTATATTAAAGATCAGAGTTACTATTATATAAGCACACATAAGGAAAACGAAATATCAAGTATTGTATTCACTATTGTCAAACTTGTGAGTTGACTTTCCGAGTTTAATGTTTTTACATTTTCAGCTGACAAAATCACGTCGACTCATTCTTAAACTCGTGATAACTGTAAACTCAGTTAAACTTACGAGTTCATTTACCGAGTTTATCGTTTTTACGTTTTTAGCTCACAAAATCTTATTAACTCGCTCTTAAACTCGTGCTTAATTTTTAAATTTGATTATGTTTAGTGAGTTTATATATGGTTTTTATGAAAATTTCTTTGTTGAATATGATATATTATGAACATTGATAGATATAATTTTAATTATTTAAATTTTAAATATATTTAAATAAAATTTTCTCATTTTTATATATTAATTATTTGATTTTATACTTTTAATATCAGTTTATTAATACAAATAAACTCTTACGAGTTCATGATCTGCGTTTACGATCTAAGTTTATATCATTATCACGAGTTTGTTTAAACTCACAAGTTTGACAACCTTGATTGCATTTTTTAGATAACAATAATTTGTAAAATAAAAAAAGAGAAAATTGGGATAAAGCCCTTATTAAAAAATTAATTGGCAATTTTTTGAGACTTAACTTTTGCAACTTAATTTCATGGCATTCATGTTTTGTTGTGTGTAATTCATCTTCACTTCTATCATATATTCCTTGTATCTAATCTATAATCTCTTCTGCGTAAATAATCTTTTTTTATAGTAATTAGTTTTTTACCTCTAAATAATATTTTGTGCAAACTATTTTTTTATATCTAGTTTAACTTCTCCTATATGTAATTTATTTTCTATTATGAAATTTATCATCCTAATTCTCATGAATAATTTGCCAATTAATTTTTTAATAAGGAATTTATTCTATTTTTTTTGGAAAAAAAACTCAAATAACAAGGACTACATCCCTAACTCCCTGCCCCAAATTTCCCCGTAAATCAATTCAGCTTTCATTAAAACAAAAAGTTAAAATGTAAATTTTTTCTGAAAATTTTCACTCAGAAATTTTGGATATCGAAAAAAATTTTTCAGTAAATTTGTCCCTAAAATTTAAAATCATATCAATATTTTCTCCTATTGCAAAACAATTAAGGTGGACCATTAGAATAATTACGTTGACAGTAATATTTTTAATAATAAGTGATAATATTACTATAATTCTAAACTTCTAAAATAAATTTGTTCTAAAAAATTTTTTTAAGTAAAAATTTTCAGAATAAATTTATACTCTAACTAACCGAAGAAAACATCCCCGGATGCGAGGAGAGCACCAGCTTTCCATGAGCCATATAGTTCCCTCGTTCCGAATTTTGTATTTACCCCCGGTGCTCACCAATATCCAAAACGAAAGTACTTACCGCCGGTAGGGCATTTCCTCCCTTCTGTGCAATCGTCGTCGTTGGATCGACGCTATGCAATCTCCAAGAGTCAAAATGAGAAAGGAACTTCTCAGATCCTCTTTGTTCTTCTTCACTGCCAACGCACCTTCGGGGAATCAGTTGAAAACCTTCCTCAGGAACATTTCCTACAAAGCTTCTCTTTTTAATGCAATTGCTGACCCTACTTCTTCTAATTCTAAACCTTCTGATTCTGATTCGACGAACCCCAAGACATCTCTGCCTGTTATTGATGCGAGCTCATCTAACCGCAAACCCATTAGTTTATGGCCGGGCATGTACCATTCACCTGCCACACAGGCTCTGTGGGAAGCAAGATCCACTATCTTTGAAAAGAATGCTCCTGTGCCTTCACAATTGCATCTCGTTGCCAAAGCTCCTTCCCAGAGCAGGACGAGTATTTTTTACAAATTCTCTTCTGACTACGTGCTCAGAGAGCAGTACAAGAACCCCTGGAATCAAATTAGGATGGGGAAGTTGGTCGAGGACCTTGATGCTCTAGCCGGAACCATTGCATTTAAGGTGTCACTTCATATTACTGCAATTTTATGGCAAATTTGTCAGGTCCTTATGGTTTTCCTTTGGAACTACGTTGCTTGAATTGTTTTTCATGGCCCTCCGGCAAAAAGCTTATCTTTTAGCGTAAGAGACAAGCAAATCCTTCGCGCGGGTATTCATCTTTCCAGTTGTTTGACATGCATTTCCTTAATGCAGGGACACCTATGCCTCAAGCTTTTTCCCTCCTAATTTTCATTTCCAATTTCCTTTTGGCAGCTGTTGTCAAATCATCAATTTATTGTCAAGTAAAATGGACAGTATCATATAGCAACTCAATACGATTTTTTTTTTTAAGGGGGAAAAATGTTTCTTCTCTGTGTCGTTCCAACTTTGTATGAAAAAGCCATTTAAATTGATCGCTTCTCTTTTGAACAGCACTCATGCAATGAAGATGGCACAACCAGACCCCTTATATTGGTTACTGCTTCCGTTGACAAAATGGTTTTAAAGAAACCAATTCTTATTGACATTGATTTGACTATAGACGGTGCTGTTACATGGGTTGGCAGGTCATCAATGGAGATACAACTGGAACTCATTCAGTCAACACAAGGTGCTATAGGATTACCAGCTCAATACAAAATTAATGCTGCTTCCTCTGGCCATTTTAAATATATTTTGGGATGTGATTTTTCCCCTTTGATGCTTTTTATTTTTCCAGTCCCTCAGTACGTACTATGAGACAGATGAGATGTTAGTGTTGATATACATAAGTAATTTGCATCACGAATGTTCTTTAATAATCTCCTTACATATGTAGTCTTCATGAATACCTTGAAAAACTACCGAATTATTTGATACTACTTTTGCGAAGTTCTATTGTTCCCATAATGCTGCGGTAACCTACATAGTTGGCATTAAAGTTGGTATGTTAGGCATTTTGATTGTTCATGACAATGCCCACTAAGTGGGCACTGATACATTTTGGGCATTAAAAAAAGAGGGCAAAGGTACATCCAACATTCAAATTTTATTTCCTAGGTGTGTCTAGCACCCTGATCTTATTTGTAGTGTATCTACCACCTAGATTTTATTTTCCTGATGCATCCAACATCCCTATGTTATTTTTTTAGTTACATTCAGCACCCTAATTTTTAGGGTGCTAGATGCACAATAAATAAGATTAGGGTGCTAGGTTCACCAGAAAAATAAGATAAAGGTGCTAGATGCACCTTTACACTAGAAAAAGTCACCCTTGTAATAGCTAGATGAGTTTGCTGTTCTAATAGATAGTTAATCTGAAGCATGTTCGCATGCCCATGTATTGGAGCTAAGGTGTTTGTCGTTTTAGTATTTGGTATGTTGTACATCCTCCATTTGCCAGGGACTTTTTTTTCTCCCGGCTTAGCTTTGATTTTCTTACAAACTCGCTATTAACTTGCTTCTAAAAATAATAAACAAATAAAGATGAACAAGCATGAAATAAAATTCTCTTCCACAATAGGAGAGCATTCCCAACTGTGACTGGATTGGTTTCCTGTCTCTTAAAATCTGTCCAGTTTTTATATCATAAGTCATGTACAATAGCACATTAAATTTTTTTTTGTTCTGTTTTTATTATACTATGGTTTTATATAAAATTATGCTTGTGATGTTGTCCTTTAAATCTGCAACGGTTTCTGCATAACATCTTGTTGTTGGTTGTTGTGCCTGAAATTGAATGTTGGCAGGGAATGCAGATACCTCAGACTCACAAGCTCTTGTAGCAAACTTCACATTTGTGGCTCGTGACTCCACCACTGGAAAGTCAGCCTTGATTAACCAGATCTCACCTGAAACTGAGCACGAAAGGTTTCTCTGGGAAGAAGCAGAACAGAGGAACAGACTAAGGAAACTGAAGAGAGCAGAATATAATCATGTTCAAAATGGAGACACTGCTAGGCTCTGTTCACTATTGGCTGAAGGGCGTATTTTCAGTGACATGCCAGCGTTGGCTAATAGAGATAGCATCCTGATGAAAGATACTCGCCTAGAAAACTCTTTTATCTGCCAGCCACAGCAAAGAAACATCCATGGTCGCATTTTTGGAGGATTTTTGATGAGAAGGGCGTTTGAACTTGCTTTTTCAACAGCTTATGTCTTTGCCGGTGCAGCACCACGTTTCTTAGAAGTTGACCATGTTGATTTCTTTAAACCTGTAAGTATATACCTCGTGAATTACCTAGATTAAAGATGCTTTTTGTTCTAATTATACTTGTGTTATTTTTTTTCACTCAGGGTTCTTGTTATGCTCTACCCCTTGATTCTGCGAGGTGCATCTGAAGTACAATCTATAGTAAACCTTCTTAGTGTTCATTGGAATGGCTTTTTCTTTGATTATGAAATGGGTGAAATTAAAATGCTTATATTGTCATATATTATGCTGTATGTACTTCTTATCACAGCTAGATTTCCTTGATTATATATATTCTTGATTCTGGAAAGTGCATCTGAAGTGCAATTTATAGTAAAACTTCTTAGTGCAGTGGAATGACTTTTTCTTTGATTACGACATAGGTGAAATTAAAATGCTTTATATCGTCATGTACTTATTTTACACACAACACACACACACACACATGGTTCTATGCTTTCTCTCCTCAGTAGTAAGTGTTTGGTGGAAAATAACAAAATGGATAACAACTTGCTGATGCAGGTCGATGTTGGAAATTTTCTTCGTCTCAAGTCGTGTGTTCTATACACTGAACGTGAAAACCTGACTGAACCTCGGGTCAATGTTGAAGTTATTGCACATGTTATAAAGCCTGAGCTCCGGTCCAGTGAGGTGAAGTAACTCTAGATGAAGTATTTAACAAGGGAAAAAAATCTGAGTTGTTAATTAAAAGGGAGATTTTTTTTTTTTTTGGGGAAAAAACAGAGGCAGAAAGCTTCGAGCTTTGTTGCCTGTAAACTCCTGTCCGGCCCGGTATTATTTTGACAAATTAAGATGTTTAAGATAATACAGGATGTGTGTGTGTCTGTGCACGTGCGCCCGTGTGTGTGTTTAATAGAATTAAAAAATGAATACCTATCTTAGTCTTCTCTTCTCTTCTCCCTTGCTTTTTACTATATTGAGTTCAACATATCTCCACCACGTCGAACTCACGTACTCAATGACTTTATGCTGTTTCGCGTCAAATAGGTATCCAACAGATTCTACCTCACATTTGCTGTGAATCCGGAGGCCATAAAAGGTGGGCGGAGGATTCGGCATGTTGTTCCAGCCACAGAAGAGGAAGCAATTAAGGTGCTGGAACGCATGGATGTTGAAGACTCCAAGTTTAGTGTCTAATCAGGAGATTTTCATCGGGGTCAGAGCTTTTTTTTCAGAAAACAAAAGATGTGATGCACTTATCTGTTGGTCTAGAGGACAAATAATAAGTCATGGCCGCGCTATGTTTGGAGTTGGAAGGATCTAAGATCTATTCATGTATTTGAATTTCGAGCACCCTTGGTTGGGCAGAGGAGATATGAGAATTGCTGAGTAAAGGTGTAAAAGCTTACTCATCTTCTGCAGCTGGAAGTTGAAGAATAATGCATGAGGCCGCTTGAACGTGATCTAGTGGTCAAAAGCAAATCAGGGTCAACTAGAGACCATGCAATTGAGTGTTCAGTTGTGACGTTTCATTTTCTGCTGATGTCCGCTACAAATTGTCCATTTCATGATATTTAATATCTGTACATGCAGAAGACGACAATAGAGTTGCACCCTTGCACTGATCCTTTCATTTGGTGGGTGCCCTTGAAATATTATTTTATCAATAATTTAGGTCCTAAAAATGAATTTTGGGGGACAATTTTCCCATATAGATATTTCAGAACAAACTCGAACATGACTATCACTTCCAGACGGAACCCAGGCAACGCTAGTCCTACGTATTAGAATAATAATCGTTGTTTCTGTTATGGTTCAGTTGCAAGTCTGGTCGAACAGTCAAATTACTTTGCTTATGTGTCATCTTAAGCCTAAGTCCTTGCTCTACGTAAGCACTGACTGTACAAGACGATTGATCATTATTGAATACAAACAGAATTCATATTCTGTTCAGTTTATCTTCTATATTTTGGCTCTGTGCAGCGACGCAAGAAACTAGCTCTCACCTCGAGCATTTACATTACACGCCAGAACAAACTCAAAATTCCAGATGGCGGGCATTCATAATTTGAGTACAGCCAAGTAGACCACATGGAGGAAAAATGCAAGGAATAAGTTTATTATGCAAGGCGGTAAAGCAACCAATTGCTATGATGAGCGAGAGGAGGTTTCATCATCCAAGGAACCAACAATCTCATGGAACATTGGTAGCAGGATGGGATTTGAAGGCTCTGAGTATTGACGGAAACCAACCAAAGTTCTGTCGTTTATTTTCCCAACTTCCTTGCACACACGATCAAGTATTGAAAGGAAATCCCTCACGATCATAAAAATCCTAAACGGATGAGCTTCTTCCTTGGAAGAATTTCCATGGAAATACTCCGTTAGCTTCTTCACTGAAGAGAGAGCATTCTTCTCTTGTGCCTGAATCAAAACAATTTCCTTCTCTCCCTTCTTCAAGAAACGTTTCATTGCCTCCGAAAATTTTTCACTATTCTCTCTCAATGGTGATTCTCCATTCAATTTTTCAACTTCTGCAACTTCTGCAATCCCTCTGGCAAGCTTGGAGACATCATCGCTAAGCATCTCTGAATCCATTGTAGCTGCTTTTTGTACATTGCTGAGCTCCCCACTCAGACCTGAAACAACTTGGAGTCCAAGTTTCCTAAATTCAACTTCATCCTGGAATGTAGACTGCTGGATCTTTTCAGCAGTTTGGTGATGATCAGTAGCACAGGATATTCGAGAACCTTCAGTTCTGACCATTTCCTGCACAACAAAATGCAACAGAGTAGTCTTTCCATCAGCCCCTTTAATATCAACTAGCTTCAGAAGCGTGTCCAGCTTGAATGCATGCGCATCACCACGATTCGTGCCAACATTCATACGATTTCCAGTTCTCAGCACGGCTTCAAGGAGCTTCAAAAACAATCTGTTATTCCTTAGTTCCTCACAGGCCACCTGTGGAAAAGGATGAAATAAGAGATCTACAGGTACTTTTATTAAAGTGCAAAATGCAACCTACCGACACATGGAATTGGTTATCCGTTTTATTTCTTTTCTAATGAAAGGAATTGGTTATTTTAATCAATAAGAACATTAATGGCGCACTGCTATCAGCTTGAGTGTTGGAAATTTATACGTCTGAAAACTTTCTACCAACTGATCAAGGCTGTTCGACCAGATCATGTTGACGAGTACAAAGAAGTAGAAAGATATCCTCAATGTTAAAACTCAAGCATAAGAAAAATCAAGATGCACGGCAAAATAGACAGACGTAGAGCCTTATTCGCCCGAAAATATTTTTCAACAATTGAACCTTTACTTATCTAACCCCTACTGTTGCCACAGGCTGAAAGATATGCTTACACCCTCCATTCCAAAATAACTGATTCCGTTACTAAACGTTTATATGTATGTACTGACAATTAGCCGAACAATTTTCCTTGTCTGAACCAATAGAGCATAATTTGCTACTCTGTTTAAACATTTTCAGCTAGCAACATACTTCTTCTTTCAAGACCCGGGCTTGTGGGGGAAAAATAAAAAACACCATTCAGTTGAAGTTCATCTTCATCACAACTGATCCACTCGGACAGAAAAAGGAGAATTTACAAACCTATCTATGCAGCAGTAAATGGGTTTAAATCCATTCCACTATAACTGGATTTTTCTCTATGAATATAATTGTCAAAATATTGCGGGGCGAAAAAAAAACTTAACGATAATTTTTCTACGTGGAAACGCAGAAAGGGCACTGTTTCAACTTCACATTCACTGTTAATGGAGAGAGAAATAAATGGGGCAAATAATTTGTACCTCCAAAGTCTCAAAGGACTTCCTAAGGTATTCTGATTCTGAATCAAAGTTAGCAATGTAAAGCATTGCGTCAACTCTCTTAAATGCAAAAGGAATATCAAGAACGATTTTAAGAAATTTCTCAGCTGGACCAAGCTTGAAGGCTGATTCATCTTTGAACTCCTTCAGCTTACATTCTTCATCTTTGGTTGGAGCCATCTTTAACAAACTTTCTAAAAGTTCTGTTCCCAGCATATCCCAATTGCCTATTATCAAGAAAAGGAAGCTGTAACATATCACTGAAATAGAAACACAATGTATTCGGATAAGCGCATCTGAAGCCTAACGGAGAGAAAGAAGCAGATACACATATAGGTTTACAAGGCTATAAATAGCTGTACAAGACAGACATGCATATTATGGATCAAAAGAGGCGTTTGATATGACTGTATCAAGCTGATATCAGCAATAAACATAGAGGCAGTGGCTAGAGACCACAAGAGAAGTGCGCAGTATAAAGTGAGAGTGCAAAGAGTCGAACGCGAACAAGTTATCCAGTGATGTTGTGTTTCCAGAAGCAAAATGGAACTCAAATTTAAGTGTGATAAAATTACAGAACTTAAAAAGGCAAAACAAAGGCCCTAGAGTGGGAGTCTGTCATTGGAATGCAGTGAACAACACAAGGGTATCAGTATTAAGTGAACATGTGAAACAAAAAGGATTTCACCTTCTTTGAGGGCCTCGCATACTTCATCCATAGTCACATTGAGTGCCCTGAGCAAAATGGCGATGTTGTGAGACTTCTTAGGGTCAAGTACCTTGTATTCCAAGGGGGGAGAAGCAACAATTTGACGCCGAGCATTATCTCTGATAGCGAAATTTGCGGTATTATTCACCATAAAAAGCGTCTCTATCATTTCCTCGTTCAATCTGCAACCGAGCGAAAATCATTTGGCTTAAAAAAGAAAAGGAAAAAGAAAAAGAAAAGAAGGGGTGGCTACAAATACAGGGATACGTGAAGTGAACGTGTTCCTCTTACTGGAAAGAACCCGGTTTTAACTGATCCCAAACCATGGCCCGATCCGAGCAGGCCCTAACCTTATCCCAGTGCAAAGGTTTCAACCTTGGCTTTCGAGTATCCTCATTGTTATTTGGAGATCGTTCCCAAAAGCGTGGAGGCGGAAGTGGCGGGGGAGATGGGGGCTTCTCGATTGGAACATTTATCTCATTTCTGGCCTCAGAATTCTTCCTCTGTTCTGACACTAGAAAATTCCAATTAACCTCCGGTGAAGACGGTGAGGAGGATCTCATCGGGGGCTGAGGCTCCGAAGAGTGCCTGGGACTAAAATTCAAACAAGGGGAAGAAGTGGCCGATGCAGAATTTGAGCAAGCGCGGGGTGTTGTTGAATTGAAGCTTCTACTCCCAATCCCAAGTCTATCCATTCCCAACCGGAGCACTCTCCCTGACCCAGTACGCACTGGACTCAGTCTGCGGCCTGAAGACCTTCTTGGAGAGAAGAACTCCTCTTCTTCCTCATCTTCGCCAGTCCCTCTGTTTCTGTGGGGCGGCAATGGCGGAAGCGGTTTGAGATCGGGCGACCCCAGTCTTTGATATGGTGCAGCACAAGGGCCCATACTCAGCCGACCACAAGCTTCTCGTGAATTTACCACAGTGCCCAGATAGAGGAACTCGGAGCTGGTGCCCGCGCTGGTGCAGGATTTGAGCGAGGCTTATGACTACCAATACCATCGGAAGTAAGAGTGTTTGGAGGGCATAATCGTAGACTGTTAGATCGTGAAACCTTGTCAGGAGTGGTGCGTTTACGGTAGTAAATGAAGAAGACAAGAAGGGCGACAAGAGCTGCGGAGAGCAGGGAGACAGCAATGGCAAGGGCAGGGTGGCGGTGGGAGGAAGAGGGTTGGGGGAAGAGCAGGGAGGAGATGTTGGCAGGAAATGTGGAGAGAGCAGAGGGAGAAGCAGGGGTTGGTGGGGAATGGTAAGAAGGGAAAAAAGTCCTGTGTGTTGGACTCGGAGTTGGAGAGGATGATGAAGAAGACGAAAAGGGAATCGTGCTGGGTTGGGATTGCGGCGAAGAGTCAGGAGGGACAGAATGCTTGGGGAAGAATGGCTGATGGAGGATCCGGCGAGAGGCGGAGGAAGAGAGAGTGAGAGGGAGTTGGAGGGAGAAGAAAAGTGAGAAGAGACAGATGACCTCGGAGGCGGGGGGCATGGTGGTGAAGTGATACTACTAGATGCCTGCTGGCGCGATGGAGCTCAAATGAGTTTCTACGCAAACACGAAATAAAAGAAGGGACTGCGGAGTGGGAGGAGAACGGAACAGTAGGAGCCGTAAGAATGGTAGTTCAGCTCTTCTTTCTGTTCTCGGGAGCTGACTATTGTACTAGTAGTTAATGGATGGCGAGATTGTTCAATTATTGATGAGATGATGGGTAGCAATTGGCAAATGCCAGTAATATGAGCCCCTCCTGTATGCATGCATATACATGTTGTAATTTCAGAAGATTCTGACTAGATTTTGAATTTTTTAGGATCACTCTCCCCGTTCACGGGATAGCGTGCGAGCAGTGTACAGAGAGGCTAATAGTGTGAGCGGCGTTAAAATCTGAACTTGACGGTGACAATGACAGTGGCAGGGCGGGATCAAGATGAGCTGAGCTGTTTACACTGTGTGTCTGTGCCTTGTCAACTGTCATCGTAGCGCTGAAAGTGAAAGCAATTGTGATCGTAATTATTTTTAGAAAACATTATTGTAAATTATAAATACAGAAAAGATCTGTTGAAAATTATTCCCCAAAAAAAAGTGAACATTAATTAATTATTTTTAATTAATATCAGTACCGAAATTTTTACAAAAAATTTCAAACCACAAGAAAAATATTATTAAATTTTAAAAATTAGATCTTAATTGTAAAAATTGAAAATATAATTGTAAAACATAAGTGAAAATAATGAGAATCTCAATTTGAAATTCAAATTATTTTATAATAACTATTCTAACAAATTCTTTTAAATGATTGTCAACCAAGGTTATCATTTTTTCTAACCCGAATTTTCAGCATTTACGAGTTATCATTGTATCTTTCATTTTGACAAACGAGGCACTATTTTAGATCCTATTTATAAAATTTTGTTTATAGACTATAAATGAGATCTTATAATTAGAATTGGAGGTCGTATAATTTTTTGAAGTTAACTAATAAATTTCTATGATTTGTTAACATTGTTTAAAATAATTTTGAATTGAGTTTTGACATCTTTTATCCATCTTTTCAGTTTTTATTATCATGTATTTAAAAAAACTAATTTTGAAATCTCTATAATTTTAATTGATTTTTAATAAGATTTTATAATTTTTTCATTTTATCAGGTTTTTATAGTTTTGCCTATTTTTAATTATTTTTCTATATTTTTTTTCAGTGCATGTGCACACACAAAAATTAATTAATTAATTAAGACATAAGGTGCTGAAAAAAATTATTTTAAAGTATTAGACGCATTAAAAATTAATTAATTTAAGATAATAAATACTGATGAAAATATTTGAGATACTAAATGCGCTAAAAATAATAAATTTAAAATATTAGACACTTATGAAAACATATTTTAAGGTGTTAAATGTAATAAAAATTAATCAATTTAAAATACTGAACACTTCTAAAAAATAAAAAATATCTTTTTTATCTGGGGGGGGAAATGGGGATTAGTCTCATTCCAAACGATGCTGTTTGGGAATGCTCATGGGTTGGATGAGCAGGGCATGCGGACCCAAAACGTACACGTCGGTGGCGGTGTTGGGGAGCCAGCGATGAGGATGAGGAAGGAAGACGGTGAAGAAACGGCAGAGAATATATTTGGCTATGGCATATAAACCTCTAATAATCTAATTCCCATTTCCCCTGTCTGGAGTGAATAATCCTATTGAGCGTTACAAACTTATAATCTATAAATTATAACCAAATAGGGCTCTGGTAAAAAAAAAAAAAAAAGGGACCAAGTCGGTAATCTTATAAGAGAAAATCCCAGAAAAAGCTCTTGGAATATACAAAATCCCAGATTGGGTCCTTAAATTTTGAAAATGACAGAATGGGTCATTGACCCAATCTGTCATTTGTGAAATTAAGGCGAATTGACAATTTTGCCCCTGGCTAAACAAAGTGAGTAGTTATTCTCTAAACAAATCTAGTTAACGCTTACACTGTTCTAGTTATTACAAGATTAGTTATAGTTAATAATAAGGTACCTGACAATAATAAGATACCTGACTATGCAAAATGAATAGTTATTCTCTACACAAATCTAGGTAATGCTTACATTGTTCTAGTGATTACAACATTAGTTGTAGTTAATAGCAAGACACTTGACTATGAAAAAGTGAGTAGTTATTCGCTACACGAATTTAGATAACACCTAAACCCTTATAGTGATTCCTTAAATCATTGCAGTGAATGAATGCAAATGAGGGCAAAATTGTCAATTCGCCTTAATTTCACAAATGACAGATTGGGTCAATGACCCATTCTGTCATTTTCGAAATTTAAGGACCCAATCTGAGATTTCCTATATTCTAAGGTCCTTTTTTGGGATTTTCCCATCTTATAATCATAAGTAACAGTACAATCATATTAACCATCAATCCGAGTAAATGCATTTAAGTGCCTTGACATTGATAACGATATTTCTCTCTCTAGCAAATAAAGTGGTAAGAGTGGCAATAAATTGTTTAGTTATTCATCATGCAAAATGAAATCATTATCCGCCTGAACACAAACCCATTTAATTGCTTTGTTATTGATGAGACAATGAAATACAATTTTATTATGAGCAATAACTCTTGCCATAACATATTTCAAGCAGTTACATATTGTTATACAACAAATTAATTACGGACGTTGCGTAAGAAATGTAGCCCATGGACAAGTAGCACTTGTCACTGGACAGAACAGAAAAAAGGATATGGAGTATTTGTCACATGGGCAATTATTAATTATTTTCACTAGCCCTGTGCCCAGCAAGGGCCAGGCCTGGGCTGCAGAACAAAAGCAGAAACGTTCTTTTAGGTAGTCTGGGTAAAATGGCCGGAAATGGTGGGCCTTTTAATTGAATCACACCGCTCGTTACTTTCTTGGGTTTTAATAAATTGAGCAAACTTTATTGGACCCATCTTGAATCACAAATCGGCTCCTAAGATTTCATGCCTCAGGTCCCGGGACTGTGTCCCTTCCTGATTCGTTTGAAACTTAGAATCACCAACCGGCCAAAAAATGATCTCCATATAAATCCAACTGCATGGGGTCTGGAATCCATTGGATTCGTTTGACCCTGGGTAACTCTCCCGTCTCCTCATCCGACTCTCACCGATTGGGGTGAGCCAATACCCGACGCCAAAAATCCATGACTTTCCTCTCTTCCTCGTCTGCAATCTCCATGCACATGGCATGGGGCTTCTAGTTCTGCATCTACCCTTGATAATTGAATCATAGCGGTCTATATTATTCTCCAATTCCTTCTTTCTCAGTTCTTATCTGTTCTAACCTAATGGGCAAAAATCAAGCCTATAAAGCTATGCAGAGAGCCAGGCTGGGCGCCGGCTCTGCCGGGCCCGAGGAGGTTGAAGACGGCATGGTCTGCACCCTTTCATACTACTTGTAAAATTGTTACATTTCTTCCATCTGAATTTTACGGGCATTATTTACTCTTCATAATTTAATCTGGATTACTCATCTCCTATTTATCATTTGCTTTTTATTTAATTTTGTGGCGCTCTACCCTTTTCCGAATTGTCTGTTCTAATTAGTAATGGAATGTGCTTGAATGATTCCCTTGCTGTTCACCTCGCTCCATCATTTTTATGGATTCGATTGCGACTACTGATGAGTTTATTACATTCGTGGCTGCCATTTTCAAGGGTGTAGTGTGCTTATTGTAAGCTGGAAAAAAAGAATCCCGTGTCTTGTCGCTTCTTTCGTCCAATAAGGTCAAAACTTTTGGACGATAGATGACTGCTGTGATGCTTTGCTGGATTACATCGGTCATTCTCGTATCCATAGTGTTGTGGACCTATTGATTCTTCTGACACATTTGGTGATATCAGTTCATTCTAGCTGACCATCCATTCATAATTTTTTTTTTTTTTTTTCAATAGACTAAACTGCAGTCTGCAGCAACCGTTGTCAAAGTATTGATTTGTTGGAACTGAACAAACAACCAATTATTCGGCTTTTTTATGGATGCTTCTACCGCATATATGCTATCTTGTTGAAGTAAACAACTTTGTATGAGTATTGCCCTTGTAAAACGCCGGGTGAGACTAACAGAATTTATTTATAACCAGAAAGCCAAAACATTCAAGAAAGAAATTGTAGTTATAATTGTAATTGTTCTAATGAAGGCACAAGTCTTTGAGAAGACTATTTATAACCCTTTAAATAAGTAATCTCCAAGAAATAACCAAGCCAGTATGATTAAACCTGATAAAGGCTAAGGTGAAAAAAATATATATATATATATATATATATATTTACATAGCAATCTATTAGCATTAGAGAAGCAATACTCTCACTCTCTTAAATACTATTCCCTCAGTTTCAAAATATAGGTCTTTAAAGGTATCTGCACTCAGGTAAGAAATACAATTAATACATAAGAATATTGACTACATTGGCAAATTTGCCCCTAGAGCTTAATAAATGCTGCTTTGAAGTTGTTGGAGTAAATAGAGGTATAATAGTGAAAATTTTGATAAATGCTGCTTTAAACTTTGAAAAAAGACATATACTATTTAAGCAGATTAAGAAAATTAGTTAAATTAGTTGTTTGTAATAAATATGTATTGTCTTCCTAAAAATACCCTTGCTAATCATTTGTATCAGCTAGAACTACTATTTGATGATGCATTTAATATGTGCAACTATTATAAGGACTACTATAGAAAGAATGATAAATATGAGAAACAAAGTGGATTGGACTCTTATATCTAGGACCAAATTAAAAGTCAAACTAGCTCTTATATTAAGGATTAAGGACAGGAGGTAGTGAAATGTAACAAATAAATTCCTCCAACAAGATGTATTCTGAAATGGAGGGACTAGCAGCCAAGGAGAATTTCCTTCAGTACAACGAAACGGACATTCTGAATTGACCCTATCAACACCTGTGGGCACTTAAAATACTACAAAGGAAATAGTTATTAATTATCATGGAGCATTCATGAATCAAGGGAAGAGTGAAATCGTAGTATCATGAAGCATTCGTGAATGAAGGGAAGGGTGAAATCATAGTAAGTGTTAGTGCTTATTAGTGGTTGTTAAGTGTATTCCCCCTCCACTGCCGCATGCCATTTAACCATTCTCCCCACTATGTTACCTATCCCATTACTCTGGTCCTGGACCACTTTCTCCGATCTTCATATTTTGAACTTACTATATGTCTATGAGGACTTCTTATATTACACTGAGATGACTTGTCCCCAAGTTGAAGATAGGAAATTGAGTTTCAAGTAAATTCCTCAATTGGTCTGTTGATCCATTGTTTTTGAGATGTTTGGGTCCCTGTTGAGAGACCCATGAAACACCATAAACTGCAGTTTACAAGCTCAAATGCAGAAGCAACAAGTAGTTGCTTCTTGATTCTGCAAACATCAATTTAAAGTATGCAAGCCTGAGTTTGCAGAAAGGAGATTCAAACGCTCACAAAGTCTTGCAATTCTTTTTTTGATGAGACAAACCATCTCCTTTCACCGATTTTGTGCCATCTTTTGTTCATATCTTGTGCAGACATATCTACTAAATAGTTCGGAGTCTCTAGTTTTTTATCAATCTTCAACGGCATTGAATGTTTGCAATTGAGTTTTAGAAAAGTGAAAAGATGTATGTATATATGCATATAGGAGGTGCCAGGTATAAATACTTAGGATCTTCATTATAAGATGGATTTTCTAGGGCAAAACAGTAAATTTAAATGATTGAAATTACCCAAAAAAAAGATTACACTCACCAATATCTAACAAAGCAGACAAGCAGCAATACAAACTTAGAAGTGCTGCCTATAGCAGAACAAAAACTACAAAAACAAACAAAACTAGGTTAGCTACTGGGAACCAGTTAATCTCAGCCTATACTATCCCTTTCCTTCACATACTTATAAATTTGCTTAGAGTCCACAACCAAGATCTTAGCTAGAGGGATGAGAGTTGAGAAGTCTCCCTTTCAGGGTGCATTCGTTTTGCGGCTGTTGATGCTACCCAACCAAATACTTCATTTCTTGATAAGCTGCCAAATATAAAATACTCTGGTTAGGACTCCAACGTGTAGAATACTTCCAGGAGGACCCCAGGAAACAAAAAAGGAAAAAAAAAGAAAGAAGAGTACAATCATTTTCAAAACCATAATTTCTTCTAGGGGTTTAAAAAAAAAAAAAAAAAAAAAGAAGCATGCCACAAGCTTCTTTCAACGCAAGAGACTCCATTATTAAAGTTAAATCAACATTCACAGGATCGTCAAAACCATTAAGTACTCCAATGCCACCCATATGATTTTTCATCATGGAAGGCCCCATTCACATTAATTTCCACCTGGTTCACGTCAAGAGTCTTCCACATCAAATTCCCTTTCAAAACTTTATTTGTCTTAATGTCATTCCCCACATTAATCCTATATAAAATGGCGTGTTTATTGATCAGCCATGCACATGAATCCAAAGCATCACCTTCCAAATACATTGGTGCCACATCTACTTTTTATTTCTTTGGTGTTTGAATATGTTGAAAAATTCATTTTGGCTTTAAGGATCCAGTCTCTCAGATCTCCTCTTTCAAAATTTGGAAAATCCATTATGGTGTGAGTAAGCCAATAATGATCCCAACTGCACTGCGCATTATCATAATTATCACTTGGATCATCACCCTGATCATGCGAAGCATGAGTTTGTGCAACATGGCTAGGTTCAGCAACTTTGCCTCTGTAAAGTGCAGAAAGTCTCCTTGTAGGTCTTGTGAAGTGACCGTCAAAGTAGTCATGTTTGCTGCAAGAACATCTAAGGCTTCTGAACACAAGGCTCTAGAGGCTAGTTGCTGTGTAATGGGGTCTGTAGCAGCAATGAAACCATATTGAATTAGAGGATTTTGTACCAAATTGTTAAAGCTTTGGATAAAAATGAGCATTTTTACTGAAATAGCTAACTGCTAGCTGTATAGAAGCAAAAATCTTTTTCTCTAGTGCTAATAGTCAAGGAGAATTTCCTTCAGTTCCATGAAACAAATCAAGTTCTGAGCTGCCCAAAACAATACCTACAGGCACCTATTTATAATGCTACAAATGATATAATAATTAAATTAAATTGTTATAAACATGCACAAATCAATATTTAGAATCTTTACTTGACAACTTTAAAAATTTAGATCTAGACGAAACTTAACATTTAATTATTTAACAATGTCCTAATTCCCAAATTGAAGTTTTAATCAATATGCATCTTCATCCTACACCATTTTTTCTGGTCAAATAATTCTCCTTGTGAGAGTTAGAATGCTGATGGTCTTTAGAAGAGAATGTTAAGATGGTGAGACTGGTAGTTGTTGTCATTAACCATTAACTCCTTTGACTTATGTATTAGGACATTTTCCCCACTTTGTATGATAGTAATGACGAGAGGTAGAACAGGAATCACATAATTATCAAGAATTGACTCAATATCATCAGAAAACTTTAGTTATATATTAGAAGCGTTTGGCATCTGAGAGCAAGGAGAATAACTTTAATAAAGGAGGGCCAAATGCTTCATCAAGGAAAGAACTGTTCAATTTTGAAAATTGGCGTCATATTCAGACCATAAAACAAGCGTTATTAGTTTGCATGGGGTTCAAGCTTATGTATAAAGCTGTTCCAATAGCACTAGCATACAGAATCTTCTTGGAGTTATTATGATGATCTTAGATGTTAGATTCATAGATGTCTAATTCTGAGCCTTTACGATTAACATTAGCTACAAGTATCACTATTTAATGTAAGCTTGCTTCGAAATGCTAATGTTGATATGAATTGAATGAATACGGTTATCAAAAGTATCAGCATAGCTAGAATTGCCCTGTTAGAGGAATGACATTTGATTGTATCATTAGCTTACTGCAAAATATTTATTGGGGAACAGGATCAGACTAACATTGGAAGTAAAAATATGTAATTAACTGGTATTGTGTGGTTCAAAAGATGCAATTTTTTTTTTTTTTTGCCGTTTGAGAAGCTGCTAAGATGTGTGGGTTGTAAATTATAAATGTTTGTTTTGACTTGTAATGCAGTACCCTGGGGTTGTTCTGGTAAAGAAAGATCACAAGGAAAAGCCTGTAAATGCATTGGATTTTGGAATTTGGATTAGTACTGTGTCAAATTTATTGCAAACTTATACATTTCAAATGAGCTAATATCATGTTTCAAGTTGCACCTATGCTAACTCTGAAATAAAGGAGAAAATTGAAAAATTGTTTTAGAAAGACGGGAAAGCAATAACCTGGTCTCAGAAGTAGGATTTATTTGTCATCGCCTGAAAGTTGTGATTGCATTGCTCAGCCAGGAAATGAGCAATTTAACTTGGCCTGGCATTGTAAACACACTTTCATAATGAAATTGAAACTTTAGGTGACTGTTTGGCGGAAAATTTGGATTAGAAAGAACGGAAAGAAGAAGCTACCTAGCGTCAGAAATAGGATTTACTTGTTATCACTCGAATATTTTGATTGCATTGCACAGCCAAGAAATGAGCAATTTTTCTTGGATTGACAATTTACGCACACCTTTTCATAATCAAATTGAAGTTTTTGGTGCCTGTTTGTTAGGAAATCTGACAGAACTAATCTTTCTTCTTTTTCTCCTCCTCCTTCTTATTTGTTTTTATAATTTTTAAATGTATTAGTGGAAATGGAGAGCTTTATGATGGTAAATTTTATTGAAGGCAATGCTTCACCCTTCTTCTTTCTGCTTTGTTAGTTTATTTTTCCAGTGCATTGATGGATTAACATGATATGCTTTATACTAGCGTGTTTCTTCTTTTCCCGGACCTTTATTGATGAGGACTGTCGCAGGTGGATGGTTCTTTTCATTCACCAGAGTGGCATGCTGCTCGTTTGGCTAGCCTTAATACCTCCCACACAATTACCTGGGAGGAGTTTAAAAGGAAAAAGAAGGTACCTCTTTTACCATCATAAATAACCTGATTCAACCCCCCCCCCCCCCAAAAAAAAAAAGATTAAAGAAAAGCATTCCAATTTTGCGTACATTACTTGTGCCGATTGATTCTCATTTACCTGGAAAAAAAAAGAAGGAAAATGATGATAGTAGATGTTAGGTAACCTTATATGAGCTGCATTCCTCAAACCGTTATTATTATTTTGTCTTGGTGATTTTTTTTCATTATTTCAATCCCCCCTCGTTCATGGTTTTGATCTTTGCCTTCTTTGATATGTTCTACATTTCATTTTTCATATCTAGTCATTACCATCTCTTTGTTTATCATCTGCTACGTATACCATCATCTTGCTTCTTACTGTAAATTTAGGGGATGGGTGCTCACTCTCTCATTAAACATGTGCCCTCTTATTCATATCAGGCCTTATTTGTGTCTGGACTTTAGTCTCTCTCTTTCCCTAATTTCTTTTTTTTTTTCAAAGAAAGAGATTCCTTTTTTTTTTTTTGTGGTTACCTAAATGTCACTTATTTTGTTTTAGATGTGATCAAAGTGCATTTATTCTCATAGCGTATTTGGATTCTATTGTGGCATGTCCCCATGCTTCTATATTTGTCCACGCTTTTGTCTCTTGTATGAACGATTGATTCCTCATTTTAGTAAAAAGCTTGGCTTGTGTAAATCTGTAGGGCGTCTTTGCTGAAGACTTCTCATTTCTGGTTATTCAAATCATCTTGGTGGTGTGACATGTATAACGTGGATTGCTTTATTTCTAGCCACTAATTATTTTCCAAAACCTGAGGCATGTTTTCTGCATCAATTTTGTAGGGCAACCTTGCTGTTAATTCCTTGTGCTTCTTCAATATAAATTACATACTCAATTGGTACAAATTTGGTTCATTAGGAAGAAGAAATGAGAAAAGGGGAGTTGGAAGCAGATGCGGATAGGATGATGAGAGAGTACAGAGCTCAACTAGATGCTGAAAGGGCACGCAAGCTTGCCCAAGGAAGAAATCACTCTGCTAGCAAATCTAAACATGGAAAAGGTATGGAGGTTTAACGTGCAGACATTTGGTGTGTTTTACTGATGCTCTGCTCTATCTTCAGCTTTTAATGGCGATGATTACATGTTATGTACTTTGCAGATAAAAGGTACAAATTTCCAAAGAAGCACAGCAGCAAAAAGAGAAAGGTACTTTGACTCCTAAAGATGCCATCAATTTAAATTTAACTTGTTCACATAAGAACTGGGAAGTCCTGTTCTAATCTGACACTTCATTTTATCATATGACTTGTTGCCTTTTTCGTTTGTGTTTTGAAGACCGTAACTACTGACCATATTTCCTCGTAGTTTCTCATTACCATGATGCATATTGGATTAATTATGGTGTAGGTGTAATTTTTTTATTTTCGACAAAATGAAATATATTAAATGAAATAAGTTTAAAGATTACATATCGTAAGCCAACCAACAGAAAAGGAACTAAAATTCAAAAATCATCTTTAGAAATAACATTAACACTAACGGAAGAGAAATCGTGAATAAGTATGAGAATTTCCTACCAATTGATAGCGAGGGGCTTCTCAGAGTTAGAAGAAATTTGTGTGAACCGTTTTCCAAAACAGTGAATGCCCAGTGCAGAGTTGGTCCCAGAATTTACCAGAGCAGATTGATGAATCCAGAATAAAGATGCTCTGAGGCATTTAGAGTGAAAGTTAAGGCCTGCAAATGTTATATTTTTTTAAGGCTTGCTTGTGAATTGATTTGAATTTGTCATACATCTCGTGTCATTTAGGTCTGCTTTGGAGGTTCTGATTATTTTGTTGTTTAGATCTAAGAAAAGACTAAAAAATAAAATAAAATTGTATCTGATGCTTTGTCTCTTTTCCTTTAAAATGTCTTCTCTATTTTTTCCTCTGACTGGGGTGGGAGTGCTAGTTGGCTTTCTACCAAACCTTGTACTTCCTCACTGACACTCGTTCTGTTGCCAATAGGCGTGCTAGTTATTGCATTACGTTTCTTCAGGTAGCCCTGTTGGGAAAATTCAAACTGGATTTTAAATGTTATTGTCACTTCATAGCAAGTTGTTGAGAACTTTGCAAAATAATTGGCGGTCAAAGTTTGGCGGCAAATGTATTCAGCTTATATTGCTTTTTTTTGTTTTTTCGGTTTTAATTGATCAATAATCAAATCCAATTTCGTTGCCTTTTTGATGAATCGCTTAATGAATACTTGTTCGAATGATCCAAACGATGTTGGGCAGTAATTTGTGTTGTTCATATTCTGTTGGATGCATGCTCATTTCCCCTGCTACTGTTACAGCATTCGAGAAGGTCTTCTGAATCTAGTTCTTCTGGATCATCTTCATATTCTTCTAGTAGTGATGATGAGAGAGCATCGAGAAGATCTAAGTCCACTTCTAAGAGGTCAAAGAAGGAGAAGAAGCACAAGTCAAGAAGCAAGGTTGCGGATGATGAAAATGAAGACGCAGATGGTCCAGTTCCCCTTTCAAGATTCTTTGGAAACATCAAGAGCTAATATAGTGATATCATATACCTGGCTGTGTACCGAAGATCTAATTTTACTTTCATTTTTTTGTTTGTGTTAGAATGTGAATTCTGATCAGCGTTAGTTTCGTATAGTCTATGTGTACGTTCTTTACAGGAATTTAATTTTGTATGGCGTATTTATGTTTTAGAAGGATCATTGTCTGGGTTTATCCGAGCGACGGGGGACATCTTGAGTTGGACAATAATCATTTGAAATTGCCTGGCAATGAATTATTTTTCTTTGGGAATTGGGAGGCGTCTCCACTGTTTGACCAGTGATGAGAAAATCGGATCGGACAGGACGGTCGGACCGTTCTGGCTGCCAACCAGTGTGTTCAACGGTTTGGTTCACATGATTAGACTGTTTATATAGTTAGACCATTTTCAACCGTTCAGAACCGGTATTTGAGTCGGAAACCGGGGCAGGGATAGCAAAACCGGACGGTCTGAACAATAAAAAAAGTTGAAGAAGATGACGAAGAAAGCGGGGTAGAAGAAGAAAGAAAAAATCCAAAAAAAAATAACAGAGAAAATAGAGGTCAAATTTGAGCAAATAACTAACTCAGATGTATTTCAATCACAAACTGAAATCTATCTTTGGAACGATATGATAATCACAAAATGAAAAACCTGCATAAACACCAGTGGCGACAGACAGAAACACAGAAAGTTGAATGGCCACGACTTCAATCACAAAGATAAGGTTACAACTTACAAGAGTGAACTTCTTCTCTCACCACGTGGGTGCCTTTGATTTGATTTTAAAAACCAAAACGGAGCAAAAATAAAACTTCGGTGAAAGGCTCAAAGCCTCAAAGCATTAGGAGCTGTAAAAATAATTTAATATTATTAAATAAATTATTTTCTGCCTCCTAATAATTAAGTCTACGCTATTTTCTAAACAAATTAAGAAATATATATTAAATGTTTTATAATTTTTTTCTTAATAAAGCTTACAGAATAATTTATAATTAAATTTTATATAGTATAAATTAAATTTTTATGCATCTAATTTTATTCTTTTGTTTATAAAATTTTTTTAGATATTAATTTATTGCTTATTGTGCTCATAATTTGACATATTTGTTGTGCTATTTAGAATTTAATATTATATTCCTTATTCATATATTATCATATATGTATATAATATTATTTTTTAATTTAATTATTATATTAACGGTTCGACTGACGGTTCGATCGGTTGAATCGTAAAAACCGTGACCCGCTGATTTTTCCGGTTCAATCTTCGATCCGGCTTTTAAAACAGTAGTTTTGACATGTTAGGTGCCCTGTTGAGAAACCCAAGAAACGTCCCAAGCTGGAGTTTGCGAGCTCAACTTTTAGATTCTGCAAACATCAGTTTGAAGGGCGCAAACTTGAGTTTGCAGAGAAGTGATTCAAACATTGCATGCCATTCTCATGGTTTTGGAGCAGCCTAGCTGGATCGCCGTCATACTCATATCACCATTCGTTGTATTCGCAAGTCAAACAATGCTCTTTCACCGATTTTGTGCGAGTGTGAAAACATAACGCCCACGAGGTCTCTACTTACTGTTAATACTCAAGGGCACAAACAACAGCAGAGTACACCTAGCTCTAGTCATCAAGTTCCGCCTTTTGCTTGGAAGATGGTGGATGCTAAGGATGAAAACACTGTTTTCCATGTACAATAACTTTAATAAATGGTTGGCCAAGTTCTTATCCTCTATCACCTACCAATCTCTATGCATAACTAATTTAATGTTATCGATAATACTCCTCCGGTCCTAATTATAAGACCCAATTGACTTATTTGAGGAGATTAAGGAAGTAAGTTAAGTTGGTTATTTATAATAAATAAGTGTTGTCATTCCTAAAATATCCTTGCTAATTAGTATATTAGCTAAAACTATCATTATTAGAAGGATTATCTTGGAAAAAAATGCATAAATATAAGAGACAAAATAGATTGGGTCTTATAATTAGGACCAAATAAAAAGTCAAATTGGGTCTTATAATAAGGACCGGAGGAGTATTTTCTAAGGAGTAATTACCATTACAACCTTCCAAAATTAAATTGATGGCTTCAATACAATCATAATAAACGACAATTTTTCAAAAATTTCTTGTCCAACACAAGTTTAGATCATTGAGGTCCCGAGAATCTGAACAATGGTAAGAGGGACAGCCTGGTGTTTATAGCTACGTCCACATACCCAATTATTGTCATTATACCACTTCCAATCTTTAATACTCCTCCGGTCCTAATTATAAGACCCAATTGACTTATTTGAGGAGATTAAGGAAGTAAGTTAAGTTGGTTATTTATAATAAATAAGTGTTGTCATTCCTAAAATATCCTTGCTAATTAAGTATATTGGCTAAAACTATTATTATTAGAAGGATTATCTTGGAAAAAAATACATAAATATAAGAGACAAAATGGATTGGGGTCTTATAATTAGGACCAAATAAAAAGTCAAATGGGGTCTTATAATAAGGACCGGAGGAGTATAAGACCCCATTTGACTTTTTATTTGGTCCTAATTATAAGACCCCAATCCATTTTGTCTCTTATATTTATGTATTTTTTTCCAAGATAATCCTTCTAATAATAATAGTTTTAGCCAATATACTTAATTAACAAGGATATTTTATGAATGACAACACTTATTTATTATAAATAACCAACTTAACTTACTTCCTTAATTTTTTCAAATAAGTCAATTGGGTCTTATAATTAGGACCGGAGGAGTAGTAGTACTTAGTTTGATTTTCAATTTGGTCTTAAATATACAACCTTAATATAAACCCAGTAGTTAAATATCCGTCAACTGAGTTTTAATTGACTCGGGCAGGCTTGGATCACAATCGTGTTTATAAGTTTGATTTTTTTACTTGAAAATCTTGTTAGAGCACCGCTTACGTTATTGATATTCTCTTTTGAGTTGCTAGTTTGATGTTGATTAGATTTTAGTTTTCAAGTTTTACTCGCATTGTTTGATTAAAAAAATGGTTAATTTTTTGGGCCAAAACAATAAATTTCGATGGTAAAAAAAAATTCCATTCACCAGTGTCAAACAAATAGTTTTTTCATATGTACACCAGAAAACATTTTTTTTCATGTCATGCGCTGATGTCTTTGTCTCCTTTTTCCTGTGGGAAACGCTAAAGTTAAGGGTAAATTTTTATAAAACACAAATAAAAGAAACAAACAAAACAATCAAAACAGGAAAACAAACCAGAACAAAAACTGCAAAAACAAACAAAAATGAAGTGTTTATTACTGGTCATGGATAGATCACCCAGGTTCGGGTCCATAAGCAGTAATAATTGCCCTATGAAGACATGCTTTCGCTACGGCTCCGGTGGGTTCCCTTAACCAAGCCACTGCCTATGAGTCGGTGGCTCAGGAAAAAAAGTGATTTTGATACATTAATCATAAGCCAACAGTAACTCGAAGTAGTTTTCTTCCCCTAAAAATAGTCATTTCTTATAAATATGTAAATAATGATTGTTATTTTTTATTCGAGACAAGATGACATTGAGCAAAAAAAACTTTACAAATTAAATATTGTTAGAATACTATTATGAAAACCGAAAAACTTAAGAAAATAAGATAAAGAAATTGTCTTGACGCCACTGAAAAAAAAAAAAGCCATAAAACAACGCTAATATTTCCTGTCAAGTGAAAAACAAGGGATAGGAGGACTGAGCAAGAATATGATCCGCTTCTATCAATCCAAACTTATAATCTAGAATAATAAGACTTCCAGACATTTGGAAGGGAAAGTAGGACCTCCAAAGTCACTTTTTCTCTTTTTTTTAAAAGTTAAATAGAAGGAGGTAATTGTACTCTTTTACCATTTTTAAAAAAATGAATTTAACATTTCAACTTAAGTTTTTAACAATTTCAATTCAATTTGTTATTTTGATTTGGAATAACGAAAATTTCCACCCTTAAATTTGCTTCAACCATCCGTTCAATTCCTAGAATTTAATTTTTATCAGTGACATTTTAATAGCCGATTGCATGAAAAGAAAATTACATGTAATCTTGATATAAAAAATTATTTAGATATTTAGTTGGGTTTGGGTAATATAAAGAGATTACTTTTTATCTTTTAGAAAAATCTTCCTAAATAAAATGGCTGTTTCACATTTAGCTTACCAAAATCACTTTTTCTATTTTTTTTTCCCAAGAGGTTTATCTATTTAAAAGTTAAATAGAAGGAGGTAATTGTACTGTTTACCTTTTGTTAAAAAATGAATTTAACATTTCAACTTAAGTTTTTAATGCCAAACAAACTCGTTTAGTTACATAACATTGTATTCTCACCCATTACACTTTATTATATTTCTACTAATTCTACAAACCAATGGCTATGAAGTTTCATAATTATACATAAATAGTACTCCTCCGGTCCTAATTATAAGACCCAATTGACTTATTTGAGGAGATTAAGGAAGTAAGTTAAGTTGGTTATTTATAATAATAAGTGTTGTCATTCCTAAAATATCCTTGCTAATTAAGTATATTGGCTAAAACTATTATTATTAGAAGGATTATCTTGGAAAAAAATATATAAATATAAGAGACAAAATGGATTGGGGTCTTATAATTAGGACCAAATAAAAAGTCAAATGGGGTCTTATAATAAGGACCGGAGGAGTATTTATAATTTTGAAGAAACATATTTCTAAACACACATAAGCTAACCATTAACTTAAGAATGATAATATTTTCATGAATGGTAAGAAAATTATTACTTCAATAAAATCGAATAAAAATATTAAAGCAGAAGTGCATATTGAATTTTTTTTAAAATTTTACATAAGATTTTATTTAAATTTTTTAATTTTATAGTGTCTTTAAAATTTCCAACTTCGACATCGTGTATAAAAATTTTGACATTGAAATTTTAAATATTAATAAAATATTTTTTAGGGAAACTCTCCTAACAAAATACTTTTAAATGTCTAAAATTTGATTTTTTTTCTAAATAGCAATATGTTTTACAAAATTTTGGGTAAAGAATATTAAGATTAATGGACTGAAAAGATATTTTTTTAAATAAACTAAAATTTTATATAAACTTAAATATCCACAACGGAGTAAAAAAAAAAAATTCATTACCCATTTTCATTTCGTTAACCCATGCGGCGGTACTGCCAGGTTTCCTTGCAGTCGCACTCCAGAAATTTCACAATCCCTAGCTCCCCCGATATTTCATTCAACTCGAGGTTCCATCGTTGCCGTCTCCGGCCT